TTGTTTCTTAGGTTATGAAAGGTCAAACCATGGCTTCCATGCTTTAGGCTGTAACGGGGTCTAAGATTTTAGCCTTGAGTTTGACATAGTTAAACAATTACAGCCACTGACTGTCTGTTCATCATCATACAGAGCTATGTCAAATATTTTAGAGCATATAGTTCCTGTGTTTTTGTTTTTTTAAGTCCATGAATATCAGAAATATTTATAAAACCTGGGCTGGGCGCGGTGGCTCAAGCCTGTAATCCCAGCACTTTGGGAGGCCGAGGCGGGTGGATCACGAGGTCAAGAGATCGAGACCATCCTGGTCAACATGGTGAAACCCCGTCTCTACTAAAAATACAAAAAATTAGCTGGGTATGGTGGTGCGTGCCTGTAAATCCCAGCTACTCAGGAGGCTGAGGCAGGAGAATTGCCTGAACCCAGGAGGCAGAGGCTGCGGTGAGCCGAGATCGCGCCATTGCACTCCAGCCTGGGTAACAAGAGCAAAACTCCTTCTCAAAAAAAAAAAAAAAGAAAGAAAGAAATATTTATAAAACCAATGGTTTATAGTAGCATACTGTAAGGTCATTTATTTTTTCCAGCAAATTAAAACACTCTACATATCTGTTTCAGCTGAGAAATTAGAGTGTTAACAAATCTTCTTTCAGGGAAAATATCATTAAAGCTAATATAGAAAATATAAAGCAGAATCGCATTTGACAGACGACAAACTGTAGATAAGTAAAACAAACAAATAAACAAAATAACAGACCTCATTTATTTTTGCTCACAAGGAAACTCACTTAAAAACATAAAGCTTAGGTTTGAATTAACTAACATCTATTATTCAACAATTCAACTTCACAAACATTTACTATACGTATAGTATGAGGCAATGAGTTAGATGCTATAAGATATTGACAGACATACCAGACATGAACCTCAGAAGAGTGAATCATCTAGTAACTGGGAGATAAAGCACAGGTAACTGCAATGAAAGGCAAGGTGGCAATGCTACAAAAGGCACAGACAAAAGGCTTAGACAGCACAGAGGCCCAAATATTAACATCTAGCTGAGAGTTATAGAGAAGGCTTCATGAGGGAGTGAGCATTTGAGCTCACATCTTAGAGGATGTGAAAGATGGAGCTGAGGCTGGGGATTGGGAAAGAATTCTAGATGAAGGGCGCAGCATGATCAAAGGCATGAAAATGTGAATGTATTAGAGTGTTTATGAACAAATGGAGCACAGCTTGTCCAAGAGGGAGATGTGTTAGACAGTGGTGGAAAGAAGCAAGTTTGAACTTGAAAATGGGCCAGGGCTGATTCATACCAGAATAAATAGTTTTCAAGTTTTGCTGTAAATTCAGAATCACTCTAGGGATCCTGTTAAAATTCTAGTTCTCAGGCCCATCCCTAAAATTTGCATGCAGTAGGTCTGACGGATATTGGTCTCTGCATTGACATTTTCAATAAGTGCTATAGATCATTTTCATGTTTGTTTTCCACAGACCAAACTTTAAGAAAAACCCACGGGGGCTTGGAAACAAATTCTTCACGATTTAGGTTTTGTAATTTTAGGTAATGAAAGTTTTTATGTTTTTGCTCAGTGAAAATTTGGTCAGTTTGAATTTGTTTATGGCATTAAAATTTTCTGTAACAGGAAAACAGATGACCTTTTTAAAGAAAACCATGTTGATAAAATATAATCACAGAAACACACATAACACATACACATACCCCCTGGACAGTCCAGATTCTAGAAATCTCTATTCTACCAAAAATGGTGTTCAGAAAATAAACCATGTAAGTCCAAGTCCAAAAATTCTGTGGTTTGAAATGTTGATATTCAGAAGCAGGGTGAGACATCAAATGCTTTGCACATCAGTAGGTCTACTAGAAAAGAAATTTAAATAAGAGATGAACTATGCTGTGGGGCGAAGGAGGACTTACATGTATCTGACCTGTCAGTGTTAAGCTGAAAAGGGGTGTGCTCATGCTTGCGTAAATCTTCTTGCTACTTTTACTAATTAGCAGTACATTAGTAAAATTTTCAGTACATAATGCCTTTCTTTATCCGTTTATAATTTATTTTTCTTCTAAGCTTTTTTAATAGTGGCTAGAATCCTGCATTAGAAATCCCATTCTTGACTTTTTTGACAGCATTGCCACATTTTTATCCTTTGGTGTTTCTTAATTTCAAACTCTGCATTTTGACAGCTCAACCCTGTTGATTAATGTCTTCTAGGAACCCCTATATGGCCTGCCTGTTAGTGATCTAATTTTGTGCTGGAATGCCTGGGCTAGTATGTTGAACCGATTCACCACCCAGGTGGCTACATTTGGACTAAATGAGCTGTGAAGGGTTTCATCTTTGCCCATCAGAGTCTTCCTTCACAGAGCCCCACAGTATGCAGCCACTGCTTCGACATGATTTGTCACAACCCATCAATAGAAAATAAATTATTGCCATTCTCACTTGTCAATGGGCTTGTCTTCACTTCAGCTGGCCTAATGATTGGAAACTCAAAGGGAACATTTCCCATCTTTGTGGAGCATGATTATGACCGACGCACAGCTCCCCTATGCATCCTGGCCAGTAAAAACATGTAGGGAAAGCAAATTAATTGGCTGTTTTGCACCAGTGATTAGAACATTACATTGAAGTCTGCAGCAGAAACTGGTATTAGGCAAGCAAGATTAGGTTGGTTCTGACTTTTATTTGCTTAGTGCAACATGATTAGCAACTGCTTCATTCAAGGTTAGTGCACTTGCTGCTGCAGAAGAAAATCCTTATAACATAATGATGCTGCATACCTTTATGCTGATAAGCATGTTCCAGGCAAAAATCAAACATCTCTTAGGGAAGGAAGCAAATGAGGAAATGTAACTGAGAACTCATCAAATGGCTTTAGAGTCATTCTTATGTCTGGCACTTTTGAAAATTATATTCTTAGGAAACCGGCTCTGCAAGCTGTATTTGCAGAATGTAGAGGTGGTAATTGTGTCAGTTCAGGAGACAAAGAATAAAAGGACCCAAGGAGCAATAAAAAGTAGATGGAGACACCTTACAATGAACTAACTAAAAATGAGCTTGCTTTAAAGGAAACAAAAATTTCTTTTTTTACAAACTACAGAAAGAGCAAGAAGAGCATCAAGTCAGACCTCATAATTAAATACAGAGATGCAATAGATCAAAGAAGAAACAGTATTAAAAAATTAGGTCTAGGGTGTGGATTTAGTTTCCCTGTTAACAGCTTTGCCTGGAGTATGATAAGAGGCTTTATCTAACAGAATAATAAACAAAGATGTAGTGTACAAGTAAAAGAATGCCTGATACTTTAATTATTTTAAACATGATAGTGTTTTAGATTTTGGCCATGTCTCCAAAACTAAGCAATTTTTATTATTGCTCCATCTTGTCTACCACTACCCAAGAATAAGAGAGAAAAACATACTATCAACAAAGATCAAAATCTGAGGTCCTGGCTTCCATTTTCTCTATCCTTCTTAGTGGATTATTTTTCCCTCTCTTTGTCTGTTCTTTAGCCCAGAGATGTCTCAAGAGTACAACTAAAACTTCAAATCGTGTACAGTTTAGAAACACTAAGTGTGTAGTTTCATGTTCATTTAATTTAGCTCAGGTTTCATCTGTGCTACAAAAACTGACACCTGTGGTTTAAGCTGCCCCTTCTTGGTACCAATTTCTCAAATGCATGGACGTTTCTCCACATGTTATAGACATTTTGGTTTACCAAACTCTTTGTGGTTTTAGTCTTCTCTCCTTTATATAAGTTACTAACTTCTGGTGTTTAGAAACACAGGGTTATTAGGCTCCCAAGTCACCCCTTCAGTGTCTGGATTAAGGTCTCATGTCATCACACTAATTCCTCCTTTCATATGGTTGGTGTTCCTTGCTCTAGGAAGCCTTCCCTGAACAAGGCATTATTTGCTCTGGTCCTGGACTGTATTTCCAGCTTCCTCTATTAAAGCATGCTGGAACTTTTATTTCTTCTTCTATCTCATTCTTGTCTTAGATTATTAAAGTAAGATCTATCTCCTGTGTACTTTGTCCACTATCTTGAGTCCTACCTGCAACTCATTTTTCTCTTATCTTTGTATTTTGCCCTCCTTTTTCTGTAGTTTGCAGATTCTGTTTCCTACTGGATTTATCTGCATCAGCTTGTATTGGATCCAAGTGAGCATTCCTCATTTTATTTAACTCCAGGATTATCATATTTTCTTACAAAGCATATCCCTATGTTCTCAGATGTAACTAGGTGTTTTATACATACATACAGGAATAAAAATTCGTGCCTTTTAGACATTATGTGCCCATACCTGAATAAACATCGGCAAGTTAAGTGAGAGATTATCTGATATATATGAATACACAATGTTACTATTCATTACTACATAGGTGGAATTTGCTAGCCAATGGCTGCCTTAATCTATGCTATTTATTCAATGATTGCTATTAATATTAAAACTATTGTATGATTTTAACATATAGTTGTGATTCTTAATATTTATTAGATAGTAAAGATTTGTACAATACACATTTGTCCCCCATGGATTTGTGCCTGAAAGAAGAAGTATTTTCAACACAAAGTAATCCTGTGTTTCTCAAACTTTTCCCAATCAAATAAGCAAAACAGTCAAATTCTTCAAAGTGAAAATAAACACTCTTGTTTCATACAGTTTTGTTTATATATTGCCCATAATTAGAATTATGGAAAGTATTCAATGTCAAGACTGGAAAATAGTGTCTTACAAATCCACTGTATCAAGGTTTTACAACATACACGTCAACCTTTACTAGACAACATCATCAAGAAAAGTGAAAAGTGAAGAGTCTGAGATTTTTCCCTTGCTTTCAAGCTAACCAGATAGCCTGCTAAGATTCATAAATGCTAGCAGAAGACATAAGGCTATTAGGAGAGAAGCAAAGACCTTAATTACTCATGGCCCTGTGGGCAACATGAGCTTCATGCTTAAATTGGATTCCCTTGCTCACCCCATTCCCAAGTCTCATGGAAGCAATGCAGAGTGGCCTAAGTGGATGCTGCATGTACAGTGAATTTGTGTCACAGCTAAGGAACCTCAGTTTGGGAAACCCAGTCTTTTTAGGGGGCCACTAACAAACCAGCTCAACCTTTGCCCAGGAAGGAGTCAGTATTTTTATTATCCCAGTAGAGAAACAAATCTGCTTTCTAGCCTGAGGGACCCACTCTCTTGAGGCTGTCTGTTATGCAAACTTCCTTGAACAGAGAGTCTGGGACAAAAGCCATCACAAAATATGTAAAAATGCCATGGAGAACTACCACCTTAACAAAGTTTTAAATAATATTAATCATATTAATTATTAAGAGTACTTATATAGTCCAGATTACTGTGTAAAATACATTATGTACATTATCTCATTTAATTCTATCAATGGCTCAATGAAATAGTACTATTATCCCCATTTCATAGATAAGGAAATTGAGGCACTCTAAGATAAGTAATTTGATCAAAGATTTATGATTGTAACCCCTGTTTGTTTGACTCTTGGATGTTTCACAGGCACTTTCCCCACAAAAGCCTTTTTCTCTGGTGTTCTCCATCAGAGAACTAGATATATGGCCACTAGATGAATGAATGACAGCATTTCTCCTATGGCCACTAGATGAATGACTTCATCTAGTGGCCATAGGAGAAATTTGGGGCATCATGATTTTCCTTTTTCTGGTTTCATAAACCTCCAAATCCTATTGATATTGTCTACTATACAATAAATGTCTCTTGAATGAGTCCTTTCTGCTGGTAACATAAGTTAGATTACCATCATCTCTGGCTGGAATGGCTGCAACAGTGACTTCCAAATTGATATTGTAGTCTCCTATCCCATTCCTCTAATAATACCTCTTTTTAGCTAGAGTCAACTCTCTATAAAGCAATCTGATGATGTTATTTCCCTATCTAAAACCTTTCAGTGATTCCCCATGTATTTATCCTCAGGTTAAATATAAATTCCTTTAACAGCCCACAAAAGGCCTTTATGATGGGACACAGACTCATCTTTTATCTACTTAGCCCTTCGACTTTGACTTCCAAGCCACTGAGAACATTGTTCATGTCTGACAGGTACATTGCACATAGGCCAGAGGAGAGACCAATACAAGAAACATCCGGGCAAAGAAAAGGCCAGTGGCTGGGAATGGAGAAAAGGGATTTGGTAGAATGAAGATTTGGCCTTAGGCTTAAGACCTAAGGCCAAATGTGGGATTTGTGAAGAGTCAAATATATTTTTTTAAATTGATAAGATCAAATATTGACACACAATGTAGAAATATGGTTTTGTTTGGAGATAAATATGAGGTGAATACAGAAAGAAAAATTGAGGAATAAAAGTCTGTTCTCTTTTATTACTGAAAATCTAATTTGCCTAAGTAGTCTACTTGCTTTCTGTATTTCTCTCTTTCCATTTTCCCTTTTTAATCTTAATCTAACATGGCCTCTCTGGAATTTAAACTAGTGAATGCTCCTTCTTTTCTGAAAAACTTTCTGCCCTTGCTTTCTTGCACTCTTCTCTCCTGGTTGCCCTCCTCCTCATAGCTCCTCCTCCCTCTATCTCTGCCCTTTCCTCTTAACTCTACAAACCCATCCTTGGCTATCTCATAACTTGTTATCTCATAAATCCCTAAGAACCCCTGAGGACTCTCACGATCAGAGTTCCCTGATAAGCTCCGAATCCATATTTGTTATTCTAGACAATTTCACCACGATGAACTCCTGGAACTTCAATGTCCAGACTACTACTCATTTTCTCACTGCCCCACTTCTTCCTCCTGATGATCCTATGCTGGGTTCTTCTACTCTGATTTTGGTGTGTTTAGAGGGGGTAAGCCAACTCATCCCGTAAAAAAAAGACTCTCCCAACAAGCTTTCTTTAGGCTGGTACAACACCCCCAGCACATCACCTTAACATTATTGTTAGTTTGGAATTCTAGATTAGCTGGTTTATTTGGCCCTAAGTAAGTATTGATTCTTTCCAGTTAGAGGGAGCAGAAAGCAGGGTAAGAATATGGTAAAGCAATGTTCAAGGAAGATCACTGTGGAAGTAAATGGAAGGGATTTGGCCTGAATCTGAAAATTCAGTCTGGGACTCTTTAGGGGTAATGGTTTAGTAGTGGGAATAGAGACGAGAAATATTTGTATGCTGAGAGAAACATTGGTGGGAGCCTGTTCCATTCAGATGAAGTGGAAGGTAGGTTTAGTTGCTGCCGTTGGGCTTTTTATCTGACTTTTAACAGGAGGAATTCAGGAGGAATAAAGTGATTAGCTTGTGATAAGAGGGGATAAAAAGCAAGGATTACCTGGTCCTGGGGGACCCAGGGCTCCCATTCATACTAAAGGGCTTCGTCTGTCCTGAACAGATTAACATCAACACCACTAGAGCTATATTTGGGGAGGAGAGTCATTTTTCTCCATCTTCTCACTCCCCCCGCATAGAAAAGATTCACAAGAATTGTCTCTAAGAACTTCTCAATGAAGGAGCATTAGACTAGGCAAGCCACAAAGGAACAGGAAATAGCTTCCTAATTTTTTTTTCACATTTCTAATTCTTTACCTTTGCCCTTTATTTGGTGATAGTTTAGGAGAACTGAAAAGTACAGAAACAGATTAGATGAAAATCCATATTTAATCCTCCAGTTGTCAAATTTCCATGAACCTATGTTAATTAAATAACTTGAATCAGGTGCTCATTTACACATTTACTCCTTAATTATTGTGATTATCTTGACTTTAAAATTCTGCATCAACTGGAAATGAGTCCCATAAAACAAAAAATATTATGACATGTCGATGTTGACATAAGAGGAAAATATGAACATTTCAAATGATTTTTTCCTCTTTTACTATGTATACATGTAGGAGTTGAGTATGAAGCAACTATTCAAACATTTCAGAACTCAAAATATCTTGATAACCAAAGAAAGCATTTAAAATTTAAATTATACATATCCTTTAATTTTCTGTCTGGTGAGTGTAGATACCATTTTCAAATGACTTATGTGTCATTTAAAAAAACTTTCCTTAAAATGGAAATAAATAGCATAACAAAAAAGCTTAGCAAGAGAATAAAAGGCTTCACTCTTAAAAATATACATTCTCAGTGGTATCTGATTTCACATCTTTTGCTTCCATTACGGCTGTGCAGAGCCCCACAAATCAGAAGCCAGGAAGACTGAGATTCCACAGTGATCCACACTTGCCACAAAACTGAGCAGTGATTGAAACCCTGGTGTCACACATGCTATTTATATATAAATGTAGATATATAAAAACTTCTGGTTTTTATATAAATTTTATATATATTTATATAAACTCCTGGTCCACTGAGTGGCATATTTAGCTATATATACCCATCCTGTAGATAGCCCTATATTTTGAAATGACAGTTTTGATTTAAATTTTGCTTTCTGAAAATGTATTTCAAAGATAGAGAATTATTAGATCAGGGCAGAGAAGATAGAAGTATAAGTCCAAGAAGAGCACTTTTGCTCTTCATATATTTGGATATCAGTGTTTAAAGGGACACATAAATAATATTATAGAGATTTAAGATGTCAGTAGTGAGAAAATAAGAAAATAGTTGGGACTGAGAAGTGTATGATAATAAGGGGTTGTGTGAATAATACTTAAATTCACTTATAAGACAATTTTTTTAATTAAAACAAGAAGGTAGGAATGCTGCAAATGTCTCATTGTTGGGCATTCTGATAACTCTTGGGTATAGTGCCCAATAGTATTACAATCATAAAGCTCATTGAGTCAAGGTAATGAAATTCAGAGAACATTGAATCTATGCAATGTTTGTTTACAAAATCATCATGTGTTAGAATAACGACAAAACGCTTAACACAAACATGTAGGTATTCTATATATGAAACACCATTAGTAGCTCCAAAGTTAGTAAAGGGTGTGGGCTTACCATGGAAGCCATATAATTAAATTTCTATCTCAGTTTCACAACAAAAAGCAAATATTGGAGCAGTAATGATACTCCTTAGAAATTACTTGAATGAATGCTTCTGGAATTCTAAACTTCTTATAGTTTCCCAAGCTGAAATGCTGTTTCATACCTTTTGCTCACACTTTTCTTCCCTGTGCCTTGAATACCCTTGTTTCTGTTTTTTACTCAATTCCTACTTGTCCATCTAGACTGAGTTCTAACCAATTTGTTTTTGGTAAGTCTTGACTGACTTCACAGATTAGGTTAAGGATGCCTCTCCATCCAAAAGCATTCTAAGCATATTTCCAATAACCATGATAGTTCAAAGGATTTGCCCCGCTGTAAGTGATCTAAAGGCAAAGAATGTGTATACCTTTTTATATTTTATTTCCCTGCTTTGGAACAGTGTTTGTCACTTAGTGGGTATCCAAGGAATGACTGTTGAACTAAACCAAATTGCAGTAGCAAACATTCCAGAAGTGTGAGGAAAAGGGAGATTGCCAACATATCATAGAGTTGATATCATGCTATGATTAAATTGGAGTGTCTTGTCCATGACTCTATGTATCCTGCCTCTAAGCTCTAATTTATGCTCCTTCCTCCCCACTGCATATTTCTTCCCAATGTCACCCACTAACATCCTACTTATCTGTCTCCAGATCTCCATCAAATTACTTGTTCTCCCTGAATGCATTTTCCAACTGGATATTATTCCTCTGCCCTTAACACCCATAGATTTGTTTTTGTTCCCTCCTATGACATTTACCTTATTAGCTTTGGGATCTTATTATTTATATGCTTGTCTCCTCTCCATCTTTGTGCTTTTGCACTGGCTATCACTAAGCTATATATATAATACGATATAAATAGTTCATAAAGGTCTCCAACCTTTTTGGCACTAGGGACTGGTTTTGTAGAAGGCAGTTTTTTCCACAAATGGGGTCCGGGAGGAGAGACAGTTTTGGAATGACTCAAGTGCATTACATTTATTGTGTACTTTATTTCTATTGTTATTACATTGTAATATACAATGTATATACATGTATATATACAGTGACAGATCATCAGGCATTAGATTCTCATAGGGAGTGTGCAATCTAAATCTCTTGCATGCACAGTTCACAATAGGGTTCACATTCCTATAATAATCTAATGCTGCTGCTGATCTGACAGGAGGTGGAGTTCAGCTTCACTCACTTGCCCACCACTCACCTCCTGCTGTGTGGCCTGTTCCCCAGCAGACCATGGACTGGAACCATCTGTGGCCTTGGGGTTGGAGACCCCTGAGCTATATGAACAGATTATAAAAATACATCCCATGTTCACAATACTTAAATACAGTTATGCACTACTTAACAATAAGGATACATTTTAAGATATTCATTGTTAGGCAACTATATCACTGAACATCACATAGAGTGAACTTACACAAACCTACGTGGTAGAGCCTACTAAACACCTAGGCTATATAGTATAGCCTATTGCTCCTAGGCTACAAACATGCACAGCAAATTACTGTCCTGGAATAATGTAACACACTGGTACCTGTGTATCTAAACATATCTATACATAAAAAGGAATAAAAATATGATATGAAAGATAATGATGTACCTCTATAGGGCACTTACCATGTATTGAGCTTGCAGGAATGGAAGCTGCCCTGGTGAGCCAGTGAGTGGGTGGCGAATGAATGTAATGGCCTAGGACATTACTGTACACTACTTAGAACTTATAAACACTGAACACTTAGGCTATACTAAATTTATAAAAAATGGTTTTTTCTTCAATAATAAATTGACCTTAGCTTAGTGTATCTTTACCTTTATAAATGATTACATTTTAAATTTTTAGCTCTAGTAATAACATTTAGCTTAAAACACAAATACATTGTACAGCTGTACAAAAAAATTCTTCCTTCATTTCCTTATTCTATAGCTTTTTTCTATTTTAAAAATATTTTATTTTTTACTTTTGAAAATTTTTTTTGTTAAAAACTAAGACCCACACATTAGCTGAGGCCAACACAGAGTCAGAATTATCAATATCACTCATTCATTTTTGTGATGTTTTACATGTCCCCTCGAATTTGATTTTTCTCTAATTTTGTAATACAAACATTCAAGCCAGGTTGTTAGAATTTTTACCATTCACTTTCTCTCTTCTAAGAGTATTAAGTGTTGCATTTCAATTCCATCAAAAGAGGATGCTAGTCCTCCACAGACTACAGGTATGACCCTGAGAGTCCCTCTTTGTGGCCTCATGGGTAGAGCCTGCCAGGATTCCAGAAGGAGCTGGAGGTTAGAGTGACCAGGAGCAGGAAGTGGCCAACTTTCATCCTCCACTAGTAGTTGCCACTTGATATGTCATTCCTATTCAATCCACAAAACTTTATAGACTCGAAGTAAATGATGAGTATTTCTACAGTGTCCTTACAGATGATTACAAGTTCCACCAAACCATGTCTGTGAGGATTACTTCTGTAAAATCAGACATGGCCCATATATGCATCAGGACCCTTCTTCAGCTGTCCGAAGTCAAGAGGCCCTCAGCCAAGGCAATTACAAGATATGCTCTCCTGAGTCTGAGTCTTCACAAGAACCTGTCCCAAGAGGCCAGAATGAGGGGATGTTTTGTGAGGAGGTTCCTGAAAATCAAAGATTAAGACCAGAAGACAGGGGCAGGGGAAAATGTTATAGTCTCTGCTCATTCTCTAACCATGAGTCCACTCTGTCACAAAGAGGCCTGAACTCATTTTTCTTTGCTGAGCTTTTTAGATTTCAAGATCATGGAAAACCTAAGTAGTCACTGGGAATGAGACATTTATATCCTTATTCTATGGATATCCTAATTTGTTCCTCCTATTATTGAAGGAACAAATACAGAGGTCTCTTTCTTTATCCTCTTCCCCAAAGAACCTTGTCTTTGGTGAAATCTACTTTTTCTCTCAGTAAGAATCTATTTAAGGGTTAGAAAGTTAGGATGTTTGTGGCTTGTTTTATATTGCATCAATGGCTAATTTTTTTCTCACCCATGCCTTTGCTCTCTAGTTCCAGGTAAAATAGTGAAGTGCATAATTTTCCCCTATGATCTTACTTCTTCACTTCATTTAGAGTCTCCCTTCCTTTATCTCTCAGGGCATCCCTGGGCTACACGGGTCTACTTGTAATGAAATATTTCAGGATTGAAAGGAACCTTAAAAATCACTGATTATAACCACTAAACAGCTTCTCCTAAAATCCTAGTCCAACTTGCCCATACTGAAAGCTAACTGTTTTCGCTAATCAGATAAAAGAATCCATGCCAATAGCCTGTAAGAGAAGATTAAAGGAGATTCTTGGCCTTTCTCTCTTCTCCCAGGCAACCAACGTTTATTTTAATTGCAATTCACTGGAGATAATGTTTCATTCAATATTTCATGTAAGGAGAAAAGAAAAGAAGAGGAGAGAGGATGGTATAATGAAAGGATCAAGGAGTGCTGTTATTTTTTGAGCAAGTGAGACCATTTGTTTATTCCATATATAGGCTTTGACTCCATCTATTATTTTGAACAATCAGGAAAAACAGCTTTCTTGATGGTGGCAGAAGAGTAACGTAGAAAAAAGCAAGGATTTAAGATGCAAGAATGTTGTTCTCAAAATTGAAACCTAACCTAGAAAATCACAATGAAATATAGCAAGGGACTATTTGTGACCAATGATCAGAATATCACTATATATTTCTTTGCAAAAATACTCTCTTGCATAATTAGCTCTTAACAATCATAAAAGTAGCCATCTTTGAATTTATTTTCATATATGATGGTGACATGAAAATAAGTTATGCTTTATTCAGCCATATGCCAGATACTCCTCATTTCTAAATTGTCACTGTTTTTATTGGTAAAAATCAAATATATTAAAGCTACATTTTTATTGTATATATTTAAGATGTACAATATGATTCTCTGATATACATTGTGAAGTGATTACTACAGTCAAGCAAATTAACATATCCATCAACTCACACAGTTAACCTTTTGTATATGTGGTAAGACCATCTAAATTCGACTTTCTTAGTAAAAAAATCCCAAATACAGTACAATATTAACTATAGTCCTTATGTTGCACTTAGATATAGACTTGTTCATCCTACATAACTACAATTTTTTATCCTCTAATCTACATCTCCACACTTCCTCCCCAACTACATCTTCCAAAAAATGACATTTTGTCCAAACAATGCTTTACCTTTTTTGTTGTTGCTGTTGGTTTTAATTTCAAAAGTTAATTTCACAATTCCTTTTTACCATGTTACAATCCTGTGAGATGGATGGTACTACTAATAAAGAAACACCTAAAGAGGCGCAATAAGACTTGTCCAAGTTCCAGAGTTAGTCAGAGACTACCTGGTTATCTGTGGTGCCATGTTGGAGTGCATGTCTCCTGAGTCCCATATCTGGGCTCTCTTTAGCCCCAAAATATACTTAATGTAGACCACCTTTTTGTGGGTTCTCATTTGGGTCCTGATGATGGTCTTTATAGAACAGAAACTAATTGCAAAGGAATCTGTTACCTATTTTCATCAGTGTGCCATATATCATTCCCCTACAGGAAACAGAAGCCACAAGTGCAACTGTCATGTTAATCACTTGATACAGATTTTCCAAGTGACATGAATATGTTAAACTCTATTTACATACAGTGTTTTAAGCATTCCTATGATGGACAAATATGCTAAATCTATCTAAGGCTGTTCTGCTGATCCAGAAAAGTGTTATAAAAGGAATAAAGGAAATGATATTTTCTCTTTTAGGAAGCATTAAAGATGTCTTCTTTAATAATTATTACAATAAAGATTCTCTAACTAACAACATATGCTAGGTAATAATTTTTGTCTTGTAGAAATATGAATGTTTTCTAATGGGAGACATTTAAAATGCCTTAGTTGAAGATTAATTCAAAGAAAAGCCCTCTTTGGGATTCATCACAACATCTATAAGGTGGCATTATTTTTCCAATATTCTTTTACTCTATCCTCTGCATTCGAAAGAGCTTATGTCCAACCTGTAATTATTTTCTACTAATTAGAGTAATTCATGGTTAATTATGCAAAATGATTTCTCTTCACAATCAACTCCATTTCTTTTTCTATTTTTTAAAATATATATTTCATTGTACTTTAGGTTCTGGGGTACATGTGCAGAACATGCAGGATTGTTGCATAGGTATATACATGGCAATGTGGTTTGCTGCCTCCATCCCCCCATCACCTATATCTGGCATTTCTCCCCATGTAATCCTTCCTCAACCTCCCTACCCACTGCTGTCCCTCCCCTATTCCCCCACAACAGACCCCAGTGTGTGATGCTCCCCTCCCTGTGTCCATGTGTTCTCATTGTTCAACACCTGCCTATGAGTAAGAACATGTGGTGTTTGATTTTCTGTTCTTGCGTCAGTTTGCTGAGAATGATGGTTTCTAGATTCATCCACATCTCTACAAAGGACACGAACTCATTGTTTTTTATGGCTGCATAGTATTCCATGGTGTATATGTGACACATTTTCCTTGTCCAGTCTATCATTGATGGGCATTTGGGTTAGTTCCAGGTCTTTGCTATTGTAAACAGTGCCGTAATGAACATACGTGTGCATGTATCTTTATAATAGAACGATTTATAATCCTTTGGATATATACCCAGTAATGGGATTTCTAGATCAAATGGAATTTCTATTTCTAGGTCCTCGAGGAATTGCCACACTGTCTTTCTATTTTTTTTTTTGAGTTGGAGTCTCTTCCAGGCTAGAGTCCAGGGGCATGATGTCAGCTTGCTGCAACCTCCACTTCCAGGATTCAAGTGATTCTCCTGCATCAGCCTCCTGAGTAGTTGGGATTACAGGCACCCACCGCCAATCCTGGCTAATTTTAGTATTTTTAATAGAGACGGGATTTTGCCATGTGGGCCAGCTGGTCTCAAACTCCTGACTTCAGGGATCCACCCACCTCAGCCTCCCAAACTGCTGGGATAATAGGTGTAAGCCACCGTGCCTGGCCCATCAACTCCATTTTTTGCCATGACATTAAAAAAAGATACAAATAAAATATTATCAGAATGCAAATTTTTGTCAGAGGAGAAATATACTTCTTACTTTCTTTAAATAGCACTAAAATATTTCTACACTAGGAAAGGTCCTGTGAATTCCTACTTCAATTCATTTGGACTAGAGAAGGACAAACTGAATCATGAAGTGATGACTATAAATGTTTTTGATAATAACTAAGGATTAGTTATATTGACTATATAGGCATAAGTAATTTTACTATTAATATATTCTTAAAGAAGAGTTATAAAGCAGTAAGACCTAACAGTGGCTAAGGGCTAACAGTAAACACAGTAGCTTGGGACCCTGATGTCTGAAGATGTACTCTGAGTAGACAGTGTCTTTTGTGGGCTCTCATTTGGGTTCTGCTGATGGATAAATCTCCCTTTCTTGGAATTGTCCTAATCTTGATCCCTCTTTTCAAAAGAAAGCTCCTTTCTTTTTTTTTCTGCTCAGGAAAGTCCTGGGCCTCTGTCTGTCTCTAAATTAAGAACATGTTTTGCCAGCATCCTGCCACTTTCCCCATTCTGACCTCACTCACTTCTCCACTCTGTTCTATTCTGATTATCATAAGAGACCCAACTGTCCCTGCTAAGAAGGTGAGGTGCACCTCTACCTAAATTTGTCTTAGGTAATAGCCTTAATGTGCATCTGGTCTGCATGGTCAAATTTTCTACATACATTTATTGAGCACCTTCAGTGTGTAAGCCCTAAAGTTATAATCTCCAAAATGAAGTAAGTTGAAATGCCAACTGTGTGTGACATAAGGAGTTCATTAGACTAAAACAAACAGAGGAGAATAAAGTTATAGATGCATAAATTTAAGAGTAAAAAAACGATCATTAAATTAGAAATGACAGCTACTTTTAGATTCAAAAGACAAAGGAGAAAATTATGTTTTGGAAATACTGAAATTATTGCTAAAAGAAATTGCTTCCGGTTGGATCAGGACTACACAATGTCTAATTCTTCCTTTTTTTTTTTTTTTTTTAGTTGGAGTCTTGCTCTGTCACCAGGCTGAAGTGCAGTGGCAAGATCTCGGCTCACTGCAACTTCCGCCTCCTGGGTTCAAGCAATTCTCCTGTCTCAGCCTCTGGTGTAGCTAGGGCTACAGGCATGAGCCACCATGCCCAGCTAATTTTCGTATTTTTTAGTAGAGATGCGGTTTCACCATGTTGGCTAGGATAGTCTTGATCTCTTGACCTCGTGATCCACCCGCCTCGGCCTCCTAAAGTGCTGGGATTACAGGCATGGGCCACTGCGCCTGGCTATTCTTCATTTTTAATGAAAATTTTTCAACTTATTTACTCCCCCCACCCATTATGGACTAAATGTTTGTGTCACCACAAAATTCATATGCTAAAGTCCTATCCCCAATGTAACGGTTAGGAGGTAGGGGTGTGGCCTTTTGGAAGTAATTATTCATGAGGTTGGAGCCCTCATGAATGGAATTAGTGCCCTAATAAGAAGAAACATGAGTTTGATGTTTTTGCTCTGCTTTCTGCCATATAAGGATACACAGAGAAGACAGCCATCTGCAATCCAGGAAGTGGGCTCTTAGCAGACACTTAATCTGCTGACACCTTGATCTTGGACTTTCCAGTCTCCAGAGCTGTGTGTGAGAAATAGCTGTTTATTGTTTAAGCCACCCTAACTATGGTAATTTGTTATAGCAGCTTGAACTGACTAAGACATTCTCCCAGTAGAACTACAGCTCAACTTTTGTAACAAAAATTAGCTTTAAAAATGTTTTTCTTCAACCTTTAGATTTTCATAGTAACTGTGACAGAAACTAGAAAAATAGTACCTAAGTAAGTGTATCTTAGTCCCTCCATGAAATAATCCTTTATTCTTTTCTGATTTGAGGAATGTATAAATTCTACTGCCTATTTTGGAGACATTTACCTCAGGATTTCATTTCAATGCCATCATGTCTTGCTTTTTTGGTAATTTAGACTACTGTGAATTGTTTTATCAGAGTAATACATGCACATAGTTTTAAAAGCATAAATAATACATAATGGAAAACATATTCTTTTCTCACCCTTCCCCATACCTCAGAGGCAACCAGTATGCACAAAGATCTGTTTCTTCTGATACTTACCTCCACATTTCTAAATAGTCTTCTAATATTTCTATCACTTGATTCAATTTTAGATATTGATTATTTGCCATAGTGTAGCCTCTTATAACCATGAGGAGAAGACACTTCAGTATGACCAAGGACTCAGTCTTCATCCCACCTCCTGTTCCTCCATTCTTAGTGTATAAGTCTTAGTCTCATGTTCATGATTTAGCTGCTTTTCAAGAAGCTCCACTCAGCAGGTTCTACCTACATCTTATTGGCCAGAACTAATGCACATGACCACATCTAGACACAATGGAGTTTAGAAAAATCAGCACTTCAGGTTTGCAGTTCCTACCCTAAAGAACTCAAAGGAAAAGAGGGTTGTGAATGGCCTATAGGTATCAGTCCACTGTCTGCCACAATAACCATCTATGAGTTTTCCAAATGCTCTCAACAGATCTGTTAAAAGTCTATCATATATATTCTGAGTGTTTCAGTACATCAAAAAATGTATCAGAATGCTTTTCAATATTTTCTGTGTCATGGCACACATAGAAAATAATATATTTATGATTCTTTGTGAGAAATGGGAGAAGGGAGTTAAAGGCCTGAGGCCAGTGGTGTGGGACTCTGACCACTCCAGGCCCCACCCAGACACTCCAAGGGTGAGGGAACCAATTTCCCCACATTTGTAACCCATTCACAGCTCTGGTCTTCTGGGACTTGGAGACTTCCTGTAACCTCTAATCCAGACTGTTTGGACAGTCACCATGCTGGGACTTTTCTTTGCTTCCCTCCTGTGTTAGATTTACTGCTTTCTGGATCCTCTATCTTCCTCATTCTTAGTTTGCTCCATTATTTTGCCAATGCAATATTCTAGTACTTCCCTTTAAAAAGTGTTCCTAGGAGGTAAATATTTTGAATCCCTGTATGTGTGAAAATGTCTCTATCATGCTCTCTGAATTTTGGAAGCAAGTCGTTTGATTTTCAGTGTTACTTTTGAGGTGAGCAATGCTATTCTGATTCCCAGTGCTATTTAGCCTGCTTCTTCTTCTGTTGTGGAATTTAAGACCTTCTCTCTATACCCAGAGAGTTATAAATGTTCATGATGACATACACTGGTATGGGACTCTTCATGTACTGTACAAAGAATTTGGTGAATCCTTTTAATATGGAACTGGTCCATATTGAACTTTTTTTATTTTTGGTATTAGATCTTTGGTAATCTTCTTTCTGTACTCTTTTTTTGAAGGAGGGACTCCTATTATTTGGGCATTGAGAAGACATCTTGAATTGTTATAGTTTCCTATATTTTCCATATTTTTTTTCTTTTTGCCTTATTTTCTAGTGGAATTTCTCAACATTATCTTTCAAACTGCTATAGAGTATTTTAATTTCTTATTTTCTTATGGGTAATTTTTTATTGGTGCCTTTTTCTTGTTATATGAATCTAATAGCTATTCTTAATTCTCTGAGAATATTTATTATAGATTTTCTTCAGTTTTCTTCTGCCATCTAACGCAGGTATATCTTTAGATCAAATCATTAGATCTCTAGATCATTAGTGATTATGTATCTTTAATTCCCGTGGGTTCTTTTTTTTTTCTGTTTCTCTCTTTTGATTTCTCTTATTCGTGTTAGAGATTTGCCTCAAGTATGTAGGCTATCTAGGTAATTCTAGGCTATCGGTTCATATTTAAGTCCAAATGCCTAAAGAATTCTTTGGAAGATGTATGTTTGTGGGTATGCATGAAGGAGGTGGGGCTGTCAATTCAGGGGTTTTACTTGAGCTGGAATTTTTGTTTGAGGACTTCGAAATTTTAGTATTTGAAGCTCTTGTGTCTAGGGCTGTTTACTTTCTCCAGAAGAGAATCTCCCATTTGGAAGGTAAATTACTGGCAAGTACCATACTAAGGACAGGAGGGGCAGATATTCATTTCTTCTCGTGTTTTCAGTTCCATTAATCATTCTCAACCTAGAATGTTTCTAATGGAATTAGTTTTAGAAATAAGCCTTCTATCTCCTGTAGAGGAGGAAACCATGGACTCAGAAACTTCCATCTTTCTACTGTTCTGCCTTCCGAGATAGCCAGTGTTTCTGAATCTGGAGTCTTTCTTGAATTCTAATGGGTGAATCCCCCTACTTCATAAGATTCCCTTTTGCAGATACTTAGATTATGACCTCCACTCTTTCACTTGTTTTATGTTTTTCAAATTTTTGATATCTCTCAACATTGTTGTCTTCTCTCCCATTCATTTTGTCTTTATGGGTTTATACTTTCAGAAAATACCATTTCTGTTATTTTTGAGAGGTATCAGAAGATTCTGCCATGTCTAACAGTCTGCCATATTTAACAAACACTCCTCAATGAACTTTAAAGATTATTTAAATAAAGGCAAAGGTGTGTATGTGCTCCTTAGTGTCTTTTAAAGCCATACAAACCTACTGAGCTCAGTGAAACATTTAGGAAGCATGGAAGGAGCTAGGTTAGGCACTGTGCCATTCATATACATCAAATCTTCCTTATATCCTTCCCAATATTTTCACTGTTACATGCAACATAAAAGATTACTGTTTCACTCTTTTTGGAATTAGTTTCGATTAGTTTAAATTGATGCCATAAAGCCACAGGTGTTCAGAAGATATGGATAATGAGATAGAAGATGGGACAGTGAAAAATCTTGACGGTTTCCATGTAGAAATAAAGATAGGAAAGAATATGTATCTTCCCTCACCCCATAGAAAGTTTTTCCATGAAAACTTCTCAAATTTTTCCATTTAGGTTATTGTAGTAACTGATGCTATGGGGGAAGACTGCATAATTTTTATTTCTTTAAAAGGGGGAACTTCACATTAATCTGTGTTGTATGTGTCGCAACAGGGCGTCAAGGTACATCTTGCAGTTGAATGAAGTTGTTCTATATGGGCTCATTTCTCAGGTAAATAACAGAATAAGTTTACATAGGCAGTATACTGATATGTCCTTAAACACCCCTCACCATAAATACATAATACCCTTTTTTTGTTTGAAGAAGATATTCTATATCTTCCATATTTGGGAGATAGTCTGAAATAATGCATCCTGTTTATGAGGAGGGTGGTTTCTTTCAAACATGAATTAAACAGTAAAAAAAAATTACATTACTTTGCTTTCTGTAGTTCACTAGATACACAAGGAAGTAAGTTCACTAGGTACATAAGAAAGGCTAGAGGTAACAGTGGAAATTTTTTTTAGCAATCTGGAAAATTGCTTTCTAATCTAACTCTATGAAAATTGTTGCTGATCTTTGGTTTGTATTTTTGGTTTAAATACTTAAAATATTAATATTCTAATCATTACCTATCTGTATGGATGTTCAAAGAGCTAAAAATTTTTATCATGACATTATTTAGACAAAATATTAGAGACTGAATAAATGTCCAGTTATAGATTATTCAAATAATATATTTTGAAACATCCATTGCATGAAATAATTTGAGGACATTTAACATGATAATGTAGAACATCAGCTTTCAGATGGGACGTGTTAACACTTGTTTCTCTGGTTAGAGATATAGCTAACATGTTGGGAACTGTGTATAACTGGAAGCCTATCTTATCTGTACTACAACCCGATTGTCCAAATCTGAGCACTCTGTTTGAATTTTTTACATGTTGCTTTGGGGAAGAAAATAGAGAACTCTTATTAAAATAATGTTTAATGGTATGGTAAGTAATACAGTATAACTAAAGACAGAAGAAAATGAGCTGGATTGCCAACTCATGGCAGCTACACAGATTGTAGGCATTCACTTAAAAAGATACATTAGGTATCAGACAAATGGTCAAAGAAGCTTACCACTAGTACAAATATTAAAGAGCATAAATTGTTTGAAAGCAGAGAATTGTCTAACTTGCAGTGCAGTTATTTTTTCCATATATGCCTTTGTGAGGCCATATTTTCTTTCTCAAGTGTTATTTCAGTTGTTGGCCTTGGAATTTGTTTCTCTTTTCTTCCTTTGTTACTTTAAGGGAATTAAGGTCAGCTGATGTATTTTTACTCTCAACATTTGAATTTGAGGCAGAACAATTCCCATGGAGGATTCTTGTGGAACTTCATTTTAGTTATGTTTTAATAAAGTCTTATTTGTATTGACTTCTGGGGCAGCATGGCATTCCCTAACTGATAAACTACTTGGGTTTACTTTTTTATGGAGGGATTTTAATTTAATATGATAGATTCAACTGTTGTTTTTCAGGTTTTATATGCATGCCTGGAAGCCTTTTAATAACTTGCAATAACAAACAAAATGAATGTGACTTTTAGGGTAGACACTTTTGTAATTGATATTTTTATCAACTCAGGATGTTTATTTGTATTGCCAAAAAATGAAGTGCATTTTTTTCATCCGTGGGGAGTAAAAAGTAATGGAATTGTAATTTACTAAAAAGTTGTGAGAAAGATTCCATAGTTGCAATGAAAAAAATTTGCACAGATATATTTCTTGTTCTCTAGACATAGGATTCTTGTATAACTCACAAAAAAGACAAGATTTTTTCCCTTATCTTAATAAATTCATTTGCTCTCCTGTATAAATTAGGGATCAATGACACCATTTAAAAATATATTAACAGATAATAATTAAAGTTTGCATGGACTAAAATCCTGCATAAGAAATTATATTTTAATTTTAAAAAATTATACATTTTTTAGTGCTGAAGAATGGGTTTTTGGACATAGCAATGTTTTTGATAAGTGACAGAATTCTGCTGAAGACCACATAAGAGGCAAAAATAAGGAACATAAAAATAGAGAATCTACAAATTAGCATGTTATAATTACTCTCTTGAATAGAATTTAAGGACATCTTTGAAAAGATCCAATGTCCTCAACAACTGTATCTAGCATATACCATAACTCAGATTGACACGGTTCCTAAAGAGAAGCATTGGGACAATTCTTCTATGGTGATGAGGCATTACTGAACAATGTTTTTGGTTGATAAACAGTAATAGAAATTTGGGATTGAAATGGCCTTTTTAAAGAAGTAGGTCACTCCTATGAAAATAATAGGTACTTAAGTTTATCTCTCATTTCTTGATATTGGGCCCATTTGTGTTTGTGCGTTAGTCAACTTGACACTTCAAGGATCCTTAATTTGTATGAAGATGTCAGCATGCTGGTAACATTTCTGAAATACCTATTTTTTTTAAAAAAAAGCCTGTACCCAAACTTTTTTTTTAAAAAGTTTCCCCAAAACTGAATATAAGTTGTCATGATAGTTACAAGGTTGATGAAATATTGAATGAGTTGTGGGAGGAGTGGTTATAGCAGCAGTTGCATGGTGAAGAGGAGGAGAAGTAATATGAGGATTTCAACAAGTTGCTACAGTGAATAGTGCTTTGCCTTAGCTCTCCAGAAACAAAAATGATAGCTGGTATTTATTAAGCTCTGCTGAGAACTTGCAGAAATAAAATCACTGAGTTTCAATTTCTCTGTAACTTATGGCTCAGTGATTTTATTTCTCTAAGTTCTCTCTATATAGACAAAGAAGCTCACCTATTTTATTGTGCTCTGCTTTATTGTGCTCCACAGATATTGCATTTTTGTTTTTTTCTAATGACTTGAAGGTTTGTGGCAACCTTGCATCAAGCAATTTTATTGACACAATTTTTCCAACAGCATGTGCTCACTTCATGTCTCTGTACCACATGTTGGTAATTCTTGGTGATATTCTAAACTTTTCATTATTATTATAATGTGTATAAAGTGATCTATGATCAGTGATCTTTGGTGTTTGTATTGGGCCATTCTTCCATTGCTATAAAAAAAATTCCTGAGACTGGATAATTTATACAGAAAAGTGGTTTAATGGGTGAATGGTGCTGCAGACTTTACAGGAAGCATGATGCTGACATCTGCTTGGCTTTTGGTGAAGCCTCATGGAGCTGTCAATTATGGCAGAAGGTGAAGGGGGAACAGGCACATCACATGGAAGAGGCAGGAGTGAGGTGAGGGAGATATTCCATACACTTTTAAATGACCAGATCTCATGTGAACTCAGAACAAGAGTTCACTTATCATCAATGGGATGGCCCAAGGAATTCATGAGGGATCCACCCCCATGATCCAAACACCTCCCACCAGCCTCATCTCCAACATTGGGGATTACAAATCAACATGAGATCTGGGTTGGGACAAATATCCAAACTACATTAATGTTACTATTGCAGTTGTTTTGCAGTGGCATCAACTGTACCCATAGAAAATGGTGAATTTATTTGATAAATGTTATGTGTGTTCTGTCTGCTCCATTAACCAACTGTTCCTCTGTCTCTCTGCCTCTCCTTGGCCTGCCTCTTCCCTCAGGCAAAAAAATTGAAATAGGCCAATTAATAACCCTACAATTGTCTCTAAGTGTTTAAGTAAAAGGAAGAGTTACACATCTCTCACTTTAAATCAAAAGCTAGAAGTGATTAAGCTTAGTGAGGGAGCATATTATATTAAAGCTAAGACAGGCCAAAAGCCAGGCAGGCTTCTTGTACCAGGGAGGCAGACTGTGAATGCAAAGGAAACGTTTTTTAAAGGAAATTAAAAGTGCTACTCCATTGAACACATGAATGATAGAAAGAGAGACAACCTTATTACTGATATGGAAAAAGTTTCACACTCAGGTAAGAAGGTCAAACCACCAACAACCTTACCTTTAGCCAAATCTTAATCCAGAGCAAGACCCTAACTGTCTTCAATTCAGTGAAGGCTAAGAGAGGTGACGAAGTGTCGGGAGAAAAGTTTGAAGGTAGCAGAACTTGGTTCATGAGGTTTAAGGAAATAAGCTATTTCTCTAGCATAAAAGTGCCAGGTAAAGCAGGAAGTGCTGATGGAGAAGCTGCAGTGAGTTATTCAAAGGATCAAGCTAAGATCATTGAGGAAGGTGGCTACACTAAACAACAAATTTTCAAAGTAGATGAAACAGCCTTCTATTGGAAGAAGATGCCATTTAGGTCATCCATAATTAGAGAGGTGAAGTCAATGTCTTGCTTCAAAGCTTCAATGGACAGGTTGGTTCTTTTTTTTAGGGCTAATGTAGCTGGTGAGTTTAAGTTGAAACCAATGTTCATTTATCATTCCAAAAATCCTAGGGCCCTTAAGAACTATGCTAAATGTTCTGTACTTGTGCTCTATAAATGGAATAATAAAGCCTGGATCCTGGGACACCTGTTTATTACATGGTTTACTGAATATTTTAAACCCACTGTTGAGACCTACTGCTCAGAAAAAAAGATTCCTTTCGAACTATTACTGCTCCTTGACAATGTACCTGGTCACCCAAGAGCTCTAATGAAGATATACAAGGAGACTCATGTTGTTTTTATGACTGCGAACACAACATCCATTCTGTAGCCCATGGAACAAGAACTAGTTTCAACTTTTAAGTCTCATTATTTAAGAAATACATTTTGTAAGGCTATAGCTGCCAGACATAGTGATTGTTTTGATGGTCCTGGGAAAAGTCACTTGAAATCCTTCTGGAAAGGATTCATCAATCTAGATGCCAATAAGAACATTTGTGACTTGTGGGAGGAGATCAAAATATCAACAATGAACAGGAGTTTGGAAGAAGCTGATTACAACTCTTTGAGATGTTTAGGACTTCAGTGGAGGAAGTACCTGCAGAAGTGATGGAAATAGCAAGAAAACTAGAACTAAAAGCAGAGCTTGAAGATGTGATTGAATTGCTGTAATCTCATGAAAAGGCTTGAAAAGATGAGGAAAGTGGTTTCTTCATATGGAATCTACTCTTGGTGAAGGTGTTTTAAACACTAGAAATGACAACAAAGGATTTAAAATATTTCATAAATTTAGTTTGAGAGGATTAAGTTCAATTTTGAAAGAAGTTCTACTGTGGGTAAAATGCTGTCAAACAGCATCACATCCCATAGAGAAGTCTTTTGTAAATAAAAGGAAGTCAATTGATGTGGCAAACTTTATTGTTCTCTTATTTAAGAAATTGCCACAGTCATTCCAACCTTCAGCAACCACCACTCTGAGTAGTTAGCAGCTATCAACTTCAAGACAAGAATCTGCACCATCAAAATGATTATGTCTTGCTGAAGGCTCATATACTCCTTAGCATTTTTAAGCAATGAATTATTTTTAAATTAAGTATGTACATTGTTTTTTAGACATAATGCTATTGCACACTTAATAGACTACAGTGTACTATAAATATAACTGTTATGTGCACTGGAAAAACTTTGTGTGACTTACTTTATTGAAATATTCACTTTATTGTGGTGGTCTGGGACCAAACTGACAATATCTTTGAAGTATGCATAAATAGGCTCTGTGTGTGTGTGTGTGTGTGTGTGTGTGTGTGTGTGTGTGTGTGTGTGTCTATGCATGTAAGTTCTCTCTATATATGTATAGGTGATGCCAATCTCACAGACTATTGTGAGGATAAAATTATATAGTATATGTAAAAACCATACCAAGTTAAACTATACAAAAGTATTCAAGGCTTACAATCTATAGGTGCACTTTCATAAACTGAGATACACTGAAAAATCTTGCAGGAGTTACCCTGTGTTCCTCATGTGATGGACACACTAAAGAGAAAATGTTGTGTCATAAAAATGGAGCAAAGATGAAAAAAAAACACTGCTTAATGTAGATGTCATCTACATCATCTGAGACTCTTGGGATGTCACACATTACAAAGCAGGCAAAGGCGGAACAAGTACAAAGGCTGCAGTGAAGATGCAAGCTTAGTATGTTTGAGGAAAAGAAAGCAAGCCAGTAAGGTAGAAGTGAAAGATGAAGTTGATGGAGCCTTCCCATAATACTCCAAGATATCTTATCACTTTCCTCTAAACACCCCTGGTATTTTCTGTGTTACTCACTTGGTTTCTAAGTATATAATTTTATGCTATCCCACTTTAGTTGGCAGTACACATTTTTACCACAGGATCTTTGATGGACTATATATATTGGACTCTATATCTTAAGGCTCCTTATGCTCTTCACAGCACTCAATGAAATGCTTTGCACGTAACAGGTACACAACATATAATATTATAATTGTTGATGAAGCCAAATTATAGAAACTATTCTTCCTAGTAAAACAGAATAAACTTGAGACCTGCAAAGGTGAATGTCCTAATAGGAGGTGGCCCTGTAGATTAGGTCAGTCTAACAGTTGTGAGTAGTTTGAAAATAGAGCCTTTGAGTCTTCTGTATTCACTGTATTTCATTTAATGTCAATATCTAATAGAGCTTATTTCATGGCTGAAGCTCATGAAAAGTTTGCTGAAATGGCACACTTAAGATCTGAACATTTCATGACATGCAGATTTCTCCTCAGAAGAAAAAAAAACTGTAAACAAAGTTTGTACACTAGTTAATGATAAGCACACTGAAGAATTTCCAGAAAAACATAATGATGGCAGTAACTGACTTTGAAATGCCTCAAAAAATAAGATGGATTGATGGATGGATGGAAAGTTGAATAGGTATGTGAAAAGGCAAGAATAGTAAAATGGTAGATCATGATGATGAGTGTTTGGGTATTCATTTTAAAGTTATTTCAACTTTTCTATAGGTTTAAATTTTTTATAATATGGGGAAAAGTCAGTTGAAAGTGATAACTGAAAATTTATTTAACAAAATGATTTAGTTTATAGCCAATGTGCTTTCAGTTTTATACATCTGGGCTTTCAGAAAATATTCTAATTCTTATGTAAATCAAAGATTTAGTCTATTAATTTATGACTTTGAAAAGTGACCTGGGAAGTACTGTATTCAATTCAACTTACCACCTTCATAAGTTAAGAGTTTTGGTTATGTTCACTTATATTTTTCCAATCATGGCTATGTCCCTGATAAAATTTTCTAAACTATACAGTTCAGAATATAGTTAAAACAATTGTAGTTCTTCATGATGGCTAATAATTGATTTTTAACAATCCATACTACTTACTGGATAGTACTTCCTTACCTTAGCATTTCATCACGAGTGACACCAAAAAGTACAATCAACAGAATATGTCAACAGTCCCTCCCTTTCTCTTTCTCTGCCTGCATTTCCATGTTTCTCTTCCCCCATTTCTTTCTTTTCTCTTGAGGCAGAGAAATTACATAGCTTAGGTAAGCATGACATTTAAATGGGAAGGAAAATGATAAACATTACTGCAAGATTAAAATTCTATAACTAAATTCGTCCTCTTTTTCAATGAAATATCTAAGAAACTGCAGCACATTTGTGCCACTGTATAGCATAAAGAAAGTTGAACAATTTCTCTCAATTTGCAGAACTTTTGATTTCTACCTTTCTTTATCATCTAAGTTCTGAAGTTTATTTTAATGTATTCCTTTGTGTATGATAAATTGTTCTTCAGTTTTTCTGTTAAAACAACAGAATGCACTCTCACATTAACACTCTTATAACCTAGGAAAAATGAATGGAATACCTATCTGAAGTGTACTTTTAACTTTCATTTTGTATTACTGACAATTTGTATCATTGAAGGAAATTTGGAGTGACAGCACAAAAGTATCCCTGCTTCAATCTGGGCCAATCTATAGAAAATGTTTGACATCAGTGGAAGTTCTAAGTTTTCAAAAGGTCTACACAGGTGTGAATAAATACGAGAAATGGGCTCAGAGTTCTGTGTAAATGAATAGGTTGCATGTATTTTAAGGCAATCTTACGGGAACACATTGAGAGATCTGGCATTCTTAAAATCAGACATATGTCATATCAACATTCCTAGTACAAAGTATTTTGTTACTGTTTCTGCACTCTAAATAGCCCTGTGTAAAGGCACATCATTGAACCAAAGCATATGGAGGCAGCTATTCAGTTATGCTGAGCTATGCTGCAATATTATTTTGCTACTGCCTTACTCACCTATTTCTACACATTTGCCAATGGAAATTTCTGCTCTAGAAATTATACCGTGGCAAAGAGAAAGGTAAATACATGAGGTTGAAATCCATTTCTCAAAGCATATCAGTATGAAACAGTGCTATTGTCTGTTTCCTGTGACTGCTGAATCAAGAAAACATATGCACCTATGCCTTAAGGAAGCAGTTACTCTTCAAACTGCCCTTTATATTTACAATTACTTAATTACTTTATTTTGCCAAAAATAAAGGTCATTAAAATCATCTTGAAGCTTGACTTAAATTTCAGAAGTAGCCTGCAAATAGTTGTACAGTCTTTAACTGTGTTCCATTTAACACATTTAATAGATGTAAAAGCTCACAAGTGATGATATAAAGGATAATTTACGCTTGCAATGCATTTTCATCCAATTAATAGATTGCCTGTGTGTTGCATATTTTGCATGACAAAAGAGCAGAATATTAAACTGCCATTCATAATGAAAATGCACTTTGCAAATTAAAAGTGCCGAAACAGAAATTTTTCACCCTGTTTAGGAAATAAACAGTCCTTAACCAATTAAACTGCATTGTAATAATTCTATGATTTATTGCAAGTTGTTTAACTTTCAAAACTCGGCTAACCCATATTAAGGTCACAATCCATCATGTCTTGCTTGGAAAGCCAGCAAATAATGGCTGTTGTATTAGCTGCTTTTGATGATAGTATGAAAGAAGTATTAGCACTTGTCAACAAAACTGCTTACAACATAACATTAGCATGCATGGGCTGCTGTACCTATTTATTATTCTGGCAGCTTCACACATATTGTTACAAGCTTATAAAACATTTTGTCGGGTGGAAACCGAATGTACACTGTTTGGTTTTCTGATAGACTGGCAGCATAAATGTCTGGGCTGACTTAGTTTAGTTTAAGTGTAAATAGAGACACAAATTCTTCAACCTGTTCTCTTATTGATACTGAAAAGTGCTGAATTATTCAGCATCCAACTCTTCTGTTTGTGTCTATCACAGTTATCAATTACCCATCAGTCTTCTTGTCAAAACAGAATGGATTAATCTGGCTGAAAATAAGACAAATAAATGGATACTATAACAGGGGTATGGGGTTGCCAGACTGTCAAAGGGAAATCCAGGCGGTGACATTTACCGTCAAAAATGGGATCTCTGGCTTAAGTGAGCAAATGATTCCCTTTTGCGAGCCAAGAATGCACTTAGCTCACCGTAAGTAAATTAATCTGCCTTTTTCAACTGCTAATGCATTAGCACTGAGGTAATAGTGTCATTGCCGAAATTCCCTTATATTTCAATAATTTTGGTCATTGCTATTGTTTCTCATAGGAAATGTGGATACATTCAGATACTTTATCTTAGTAAATAAAAGGTTGCCTGGTAAATAAATTAACCCATTTAACAATGAAGTTATTGCTGATAGTTTTGTGCCACTTCATAGCTCTCAGCTGATGTGATACCAAGTAACTCTTTGCACAGATGGCTGGTGGAATCCATCCAGCATCTGCAAAGTCCATCCCTGTTTTCTTTCCCAAACATTTTATTTGGAAATCTTGTTTGGCAGACTTCCTGAGACTCTGCCTGGCTGTTCAAAGTACATATTTCCAATCTATCTCATTTGGCCCTTCTATAAAAAAAGAACCAGCAAAGTGCCTTCTGATTTGGCACAAAAATTTCAGCCACAGACTGAAGCAGGTTTTAGGTTCCTGGCCAAAAATTTACAAGAATTTTATCTTAGATGCTTCCATACTGGACTGTTTTACATAGTCATCGTTAACATCTGAAGCCTTCACATCACGACAGGATCAAAGCCTCCCAATCTGTATCATCTGATAGCTTCACTTTGCCTAAAGTTCCCTCTTGCTCTTAGTTTCCCAGACTTTACGTATCCTAATGATTGTAGACACTGTTCTTACTGTGAAGTGGTGAGTAATTTAAGGATAGCTACCTGCTGGAAAATGGTTCCATTCACTTGATAATGAATGAACAGATTACTTTAGAATGACTCATCATCTTTTTTCTTTTTCCAGTAGATTGTATAAAGAATTTTAAGCATTTAAAAAACAAAAACCCTTCCTACATTTGGGGAGTTCCAAAGAGGTCATTCTAAAAATTGAATTCTAGGTACAACTTCTGCTATTCTCTTAAAGACATAGACTGGAAATTTCCATCTCACATTCCCAGAACATTACCTCAAATGTCTCCTCAATGTAAATCAGGTTCCCAGAACTTCAATATTAAAAAAAAATGCGCTAATTGGCGCAGTCACAATTTACTTTTGCTAAATCTCATTTGCTTTGTATATAATCCCAAAGTTACTTCATAGAAAGGCAGCTCTTTAAGCACTGCTTGAAATAAGGCAGTGTTTTTATTATCAGTCAATTGATTTTTACTTTCTTTCTCCTTCTTCCTATTTAAAGCACATAACTCACTTATATGGAAAGATAGCATTTTTGCATGCTTTACACAATTTTGTATGGTTTAAAACTGTTTCCAAAGTTTGAATTGTTTTATAAAATTAATTTTGCAATACTAGAAACTAAGTTGATTGACAGGTATGTATAATGAACTTGCTTCCAAATTCCAGATGTCATTTCCCACTATTGAGGAACATTTCAAAGTATATGGCTGCCATTTCAAATTGAACTTGTCCCAGTGTAAACATTCTCTCTGGTTCCCCATTTCCAAAATCCCAGTCAACTGCTAAATCCTACAGTCTGCCTTTATAATCTCTCTTCTATTATTCTCCTTTCCATTACCACTATCAGCATGCTTTTCATTCCACACTGATTCATTTGGATATTTATGCATGTATTAACTCACTTATGCAACAATTCTTTGAGCACCTAACATGAGTGGTCTCTTTGCCTCTAGTCCTTCCAACATTCTTCCCACCCCAGCCCTCAGCCTTCAGCCCTCAGCCCTCATTGTGAAATGCCCTCCACCCATCCTACCCATTTTAAAATATCAACTCAAATGATATCTCCTTGTACATTTTTCTTTCTTTCCTTTTTTTTTTGGAGATGGAGTCTTGCTCTGTCACCCAGGCTGGAGTGCAGTTGTGCTATCTCAGCTTACTGCAACTTCCACCTCTAGAGTTCAACCAATTCTCCTTCCTCAACCACCAAAGTAGCTGAGATTACAGGTGCCTGCCACCACACCTGGCTAATTTTTGTATTTTTAGTAGAGTTGAGGTTTTGCCATATTGGCTGGTCTCAAATTCCTGACCTCAAGTGATCTACCTGCCTTGGCCTGCCTTGGCCTCCAAAAGTGCTGGGATTACAGTTGTGAGCCACCATGCCTGGCCCCTTGTACATTTTTCTTATTCTCTCACTCATATGGAATGTCTTACATCTTCAAGTCTCTTGAGCATTTTTCTGTTTCCTTTATCATAACTTGGTAGAAATCTTGTCTCTGAAACTTATTAGCTGTGTGGCTGTGTGCGAGTTATAGAAACAACAGAAGCCTCATTTTCTCCTCTAAGACCTGGGATATTATCACCCCATGGGTTGTGAGCATTAAATGAGCTAATGCATATGAAATACTTAAAACAATGCCTGGTACACAGTGAATGTTCATAAAATTCTTACTTGTTATATTAAGGTGTGCAGTAGGACTTGGAAATAGATGTGTTTTAACCTTTGTGGGTTGAGAGGTAACAACTGTAATTGCCTTTGTTGTTTATGAGGGGCTTAAATTTGTACTTATGATCCTGGGTGGTGGGCCTTGCAGGGTATAGCATCCTGGGCTGGATCCTGGGTGGTGGGCCCTGCAGGGTATACATCCTGGGCTGAGCAGTGTGGAGCCATGCTGTTTGGCTTCATATCCTGGCCTTTAGCACTTGCTAGCTTTATTTAAGTGAGAAGTAAGGCAGTTGAAAGTTTCTATACCTTATAGGTAGTTGTTAAGATTAACTGAAAGTAAAATGCTTAGCAAAGTGCCTAGCCCATAGCAAGACCTCCATGAGTATAGCTGTCATTACACTAGAAGGGTTCCAAAATGTTCCTTGATCTAATGTTATGTGGTGAAAAAGGACTAGTTCAATGAATGCACAATTCCTGAATTACTGTCAAAACTCCTAGGCCCATAAACTCTTAGAGGGAGTGCATCAAAGAGGTCACACTTGTTTTCTGGCCTTGTGTCTTCCGTCATACTCGTTCCTCCCTTTCCTGCCCAAACATCTAGGAACATCATCCCTGTTTGCATCCATCTTTCTGAGTTTAAGAAGCTTGTCCTTACCGCAGACTTTCTGACTAACCTAGCCCTCAAAGATTTATCATCTAAATGCCTGAAGCATTTAGCAATTCTACCACAAAATTGAGCTCTTACTTATATATTGTTTTGCAGTGTTTCTTCTGTGTTTGATTTGCCTCTCCAAAGATATTTCACTACCTTTCTGCTTCCTAGCTCTCTTTTTTCAGGAATCCACAAAGCTCTCTGGATAACTTTCCTGCCCTGTCATGGTGACCATGCCACTTGTCCTCCAGGTATTAGCATGGGGTTTGGGTTCCAGCCAGGCTTCTGGGCTTGATTGCCTTTAACCTAACCATATGAAGAAGGTCTTGCAGCATGAGATAAGCCCTCACTATTGGCCAAGTCCGTGTTTGTGCACCGGGAAGAAATTTTCTTCCTCACAAACTATATTTCTTCTACTTCTTAGAATAAACTGTATCTTTATTCTACAGCCAGCCTTACCTGATTGAAGAAGCATTGTGTTGTGTTCCCACACAATCATGGACTTGGAAGTATTCAAGTTATGGATTTGAATCTTGTTTTTTTTTTTTTGGTCGGGAGGAGACAGAGTCTTGCTCTGTCACCCAGGCTGGAGTGCAGTGCCATGATCATAGCTCTCTGTAGCCTTGAACTCCAGTTCAAGTGATTCTTCCATCTCAGCATTCCAGCTAGCTGGGACTACGGATGCACCATCATGCCTGGCTCATTCAGAAAAATTTTTTCTTGCAGACGGGGTCTCAGTATGTTGCCCAGTCTGGTCCTGAACTCCTTGTCTCAAGCAACCCTTCCATCTTAGCCTCCCATATAGCTTGGATTTCATGAATCTTGGTTTTGTTACTGTGATCTTTGGCAAGTCACTTTTCTGAGTGTTGTTCAGGTATGAAAATATTAATACCTAGCTCACAGAGCAGACATGTGGATTATGTGAGATAAATAACATAAAGTGCTTGACGAATAATAGGGAGTAAACTTTAGGTACCTTACCTCTCCAATTAATATGAAATCATATTAATAACATCAATAATTTATCCTTATTATATATAGTACCCTTTGACACAATTATTATTACTCTACCTATAGTTTTACATTTACATGGGGTACACATGCTTTCATTTAACATTTCTCTTCAAATAATTGTCTGAGTAAAGTATATACTGATCTTAATATCTGTTACACAACTAAATGCTTTGCTATGAAACCTAGCAAATCTAGAATCTAAAACTTACTAGTTGTTCAAAGTTGACAAGTATTGAAAATTATCTTTCACATGAAACACCGGTATCTTCTTCACATTTGAGTAATTTGAAGGCCAAAGGCTAAAACATCCCTTATTTAAGGATAAAATGTAAGGAAGAGGAGCTACCATGTTCATGGCTTACCTTCTAATATTTGGATTAGATATGTATTTCAAGATAGTGAGGAGTATTTCACAAGACAGCTCATGAAACTTCCCTCTATAGCAGTCTCAATTATCATACCAAAATGAGTCTCATAACAGAATTCACCCCTAAGTTTTTAATAAATCCCTCAGCAAACAGTTGTTCTGGTTGTGCATATCCTGACTTTGGTTGAAAAATGAGAGATGAGGTTTAAACTGAAGCCTGCTTATAAGCAGAATCTTTGAGTAGAGAAATCACAATAAAATATCAAATTTCTAGGTTCACATGGGCAGCCTGTTTGAGCCTACTTGCTTGCTTTCTCTCCCCTTTACTCTCTTCTCTCTTTCTTTTTTTATTTCCTTCTTAGCAGTCTGAATTGACCAAATTCTAAGCCATTTATTTATAAGTCTGTTCTAGCTACAAATACTTTGATCTTGTCAGAGGACAATCTAATCTCTTGAGTCAGAGTCAGAATGGAAAGATCAAGTTACCTCTATGAGCATGATACAAAGACCCAAAATGCAAAACTTAATAAGATTGATATATGACTAAAATGACTTATGATGGTGGAGACAGTTCTACCCTTATGGAGTCATCTTTGAGTCTTGAGAAACCACATAACAGAGGTCTTGAGAAACCACAGTTCTTACCATTGGCTTGGGAGGTGAGCGGTGAGGATGCACGAGGTATTTTACTGTTTTCATCTTTAAACTTTTAATAGAAGGCTGTTGAGAGGTCCGTTGAGAGGTCCTGACTCAGCAACTTCTCAAGTTACTCAGTCCTTTAAAAAGGTTTAAATGTGACCTCAATTCTGTGCAACACAGATTTATAATCCGTCTTCAATTTGGAAAGCCTAATCTTTATAGAGAAACTGAGAGAAAAAGATCACAATAATGGTATCTCAGCTCGACAATGAGATTTTCTCCCATAGAGATAAAAACAGACCCCAGGAATAATCTTCAAGTACATTTTATTGTTTTGATAAGACAATAAAGTATGAGGTTATAGTAACAGTGAGCTACCTTTCCTTCTTCTGGCAGGAAGAGGTAAAGCAAAATATTTTCCAAAGTGGCAAAGAGGACAAGAGCTTTTCTCTATCCCATGTATGTAGTGTCTAGTTTTAGAAGTGGGATTCCCAGAGCAATGGTTTCTACTGCATGTTGTGAAGGAAGTTGATAATATAGCTTTTGTCTAAGAGTATTAGTACTGACAAGCTTATTATAAGGAACTAGATCTCCTCATCCACTCCCCTCACTCTCTTTAATTTACCACACTGAAATTGGAAGGAAGCTATGCTCACCACTATACCACCAACGCTCTACCAAACTGAAATTGGATAGGGCACATGTGTGCCTTTGGGGAATGGGTGGGTCAGGTGGGATGGCACACACTGAACAAGCAGAGAAGATTCCACAGGAGTCCTCTCAAAGGTGAAATGTATTATCTTTTTTAGTTTTGTAGTAATTGTCCCCTTTGTTTATAGAATATTCTAGTATAAGTTTGCCATTATTGTGATTACTCCATAGCTATAATGCATACATATGGCAGATGTGTGTTATCTCCCATAATTCTCTTGTCTGTTCAGTGGGCTGGGTATTGATATTTTTATATCTGAACACATCTGAGGCTCAGAGAGGTTCAGCACATTGCCTAAAGTCATTACAGTTAGTAGGTGGCAAAACCAAGATCTAAACCCAGACTTTATGGGTGCAAAGTCCATGCTCCTTCCAAACAGCATCAGGCTGCCTCAGTTGGTAAGGTTGGTTGTGAAACAAGGATGTGACTTATTTAAGAAGCAACAGAAATATAGTTAGGAAGGAAAGTGGAAGGAATTTGGTCATTTCTCTTGCTCATAGATCTACTTCTCTCCTCTCTATTGTCATTGCCTTCTTCATTCTTTTTATCTTCACTTTTGCCATTCTCATAATTACAATAAATAAGAAAATTCATTCTTGAGGCATAAAATGGTGTTAAGGAATGCAGTTGCCTACTTAAAGAAACATGGGGGAAGCTTCTTAATGGCTCCCAACTAAAAAAGAAAAATCTATTCACTTGCCATAGCAGCTGAAATTCCCACTATTAGAGAGTTGCTCCTTTGGAAACTTTGTGTACTTTGTCTCTAAAAGTTATCTTGAATGTGGCAGTTTATGATGTTATTGAAAACTTTCCCCAAGACTTTTGTGCCCAATGTAATCAACACAGAACATACTACTTTTGATTGGTAAATAAGGAGCATAAAATGTTTATACAAGCCCTTTGTAGACAAAACAGAGCAAGTTCTTTGTAAAAGAAAATCTGAGAGGTTAGAATTCAGGACCGCAATCCTGGTATGATACTCCGTGGAAAGTCATCTTAATTTTATTTGCATAGACCCAGGGGAAATGAGGGAAGTGCAGACCTTAAAATAGGTTTAATTTCAGCTTAGATGTCAGGAAAACTTCCCTGACTCACTGAGACCAGGTTGTGAGTTCTTGCCCTGAGCTTTTATAAATATCTGCATTTCCCTTTATCCCAGCATGTATTTTGTTGTCATTGTTGACCCAACTCCATCACTAGACAATAAGTTCCTTAAGAGCATTCATTCACTTGAGGAATATTTACAGTGCTAGTATAAAGTTCAGAAAAAAAAAACTATGCAGATTAAAATATCCCAAATAGTTGCATCTTTTTTTACTTTTAATTTGGAGGTCTTTTGTTGTGTGGGAAAAAGTCAAACACACTCTTCTATTAATACTTTAGGATTGTAGAGTTGAGTAAATAATGTGTAGTCATCTTTCAGTAGAAAGCAAAGGAAATTTACTGGGAAAATATAAGAGAGGATAATAAATACATTTAAAAATGTTTTCGAGGGAGGACTAAAACTTCTTAGGAGCTTTTCATTTTTGCTAGGTTACTAAGAATGGAATTCATGATCTCACTACTGACTCAAAAAATGTATAGATAGGTGTGTGGTTCAAAGGGTGAAAGATTTTAGGAAAAGCAAAGAAAGCAATAAAGTGCAAGAAATGGAATGTGCAAGTAGAATAATCATAAAAGAGAGTGGGATTTTAGGGTAGTACTAAAATGAAGAAGTGTATCAAATAAGAAGCTACTTGACAATGATTACTTAGAACCAGCAACCATTCCAAAAGATAAATTAAGAAGCAAACAACAAAAGCCTCTCATTCAGAATAATCTTTTTGAGAATTTGCCAGCTCATTACCTGTCTGGAATGATAAAATCCTCTTCGTCCTGATCAGAGAAATTGTGTCCTGATTTGACACAATTAAACCTCTGCGGGCCAGATTCTGTCACAGAACCCCATAATTCATTGTACTTAGTAATCACTGGGCAAATTATCATGGTCATCAACACAAATGGAAATAGATTTGCCTAGAGGAAAGGTCATCAGTGAATAATAAATAGCCTGGAGACCAAAGCTGTGTAACCTGTTGCAAGTCTGAGAAACTGCTTGGCCTTGAGTCTCTCACATAGTAATTCCTGGCAACTCACCTCTTGCTGTAATACAGAACATGGTAGAAAGTGGATGTCAGTCCATAGACCTTATTATTGGGGAGGTGGGTAGGGGGAGGGAGAAGTTGCTGACTGGCAGAAAGGCCTTGCTGCAATGTGGATTTACCCCTAAGGAAACCAATCCATCAGCATGAACCTGACAGCACTGTGCACTGTGGTGCTCTAATGAACAACCCTGAACTACTTTTTCCCCCCTCTCTGTTAAGTAATCCTGCAGGGATTACAAAGATGCTTCTAAGATTTCTATTTTACTTCCTTAAATAAACCTGCAATTTCAACCTGCTATGAACCATTGAAATTGCCATTTTCTAGTTAACAAATGGTTGAATATAGGCAATTTTACATGATTCAACCTAACTGTTAAATGGCCACACAGATTTGGTGCTATAATATAACTGTGGGAAGAAAGAAAGAATTAAAATGTGAACACCAAATATCTTTTTTTTTTTTTCCTAAAAAAGCCCAGTCAGGTTAAAAGAGAAGGCAAATTCCTTTTAGCTGCAATTAGTATTTGTGGAATATCTAATCACATGATGCTATGAAGTGTACACAGTAAACAGAAGACACCATTACCCTGAGGAATTTATCATCTGTACATGAGGGTTTGGCTAAATATAGAACAAAAACAGTGTTTCCACTTTCCCACCTAGCAGACAAAAATGGCTGTATTACAAAGTGCAACTAATCTCCCACAAAGTACACTGATGCCAGTACCAGCCATATATACCCAGAAATAACACCATTGGTCTTATTTTGCTGCCCCCTACAACCTCCTTTCACCCCACTAGGCTCTAGATATGTTAGCCTTCTTTTCTGGACTGACCACATAATTTGCTAGACCAATGTGAGGCCTCTTGTTAAAAATTTAAAAATTTCAAGATGGTGACAGCAAAGCGTTAAACTGGGGCCCCTTAAGCATGGGGCCATGTGTAACCACCCAGGTTGCATGCCAATAAAGCCAGTTTTGCTTCTTTCTGTTTCTCATATATGACAAACTCATTCCCAGCTCAGGGCTCTGGTACCTGGTGTTCTCGCTGTTTGGAATGCTCTTTTCATGGCTAAGGTCTCAGCTCAATGCTTTTTCCTCAGAGAGGCCTTCCTTGACAACTCTGTTTAAAGAAGCCTTTTTTTTTTTTGTCACTCTATGTGACATCATACCATTTCGCTTTTTTCCTAATATTTTGCTCTGCTGGGTTTTTTTGCTGATTTGTTTATAGATTTATTTAAGGTATCTATTTTCCCTCCATTAAAAGGTAAATTCCACAATAGAAGGACTTTATCTTGTTCACTTTGTCTTGTTCAAATGTCTCTTAACGCAGTACTTGATATGTGTAGATATGTTTTTGATGAATAAATAAACAAACTAGATTATTTACAAGATATTTCTAATTTACAAAAAGTCCTCACTGGTCTTCAGGTTTTTATATTTTCCAATAGACTCAGCTAATATATACACACATGCACACCAACATACATATGAACCAATGACTGAAGTTCAAAACTTTAGCCAATGCAATACATCAGAACTAGAACCCTCATTCAGCTGTGATTACTAAATGATTTATCTTTAGAAATCATACTACATTTTAAAAATCAACCAGCTTTTAAACTTAATTCTACTATTGCTCTCATAACTCAACAATTTTAAAGAAAAAGTCCAAAGTTGGCATATATTAAAATGTAGATCGAAAATATCTTTTAGAATAATTTCTAAGAAAACATGGTAAATTTTTTTACTGCAACTATGCCTATTGTTCAAAACAGAATATAATTATTAAGACATTATTAAATGCTTTGAGAAACCTGAATGCAGCTATAATTTTCCACAAAGTTAATATTCACTTTAGAGTAGTTTTATAACAAAAAATCAAAATAATTATACAAAGGTACAAAAACTAGGACTTTGACCCCTGGCAGAAATTGCTATCATGAAATAACCTTGGTTAAATTAACCTGAAGCTCATGTTAGATTACAAAGCTTCCTGCAACATACTAATTTAATTATATCTTTTGAATTTAAGAGTCAAAGATAATGGCCCCCTAAGACTTGACTTTGCTTTTAATGGCTCAACTGATTCTGGCTAGAGAGTTGGCACTGAATGCAAATCATCTTTTTGGTGGTTTCATACTTTATAGCTACAATTAGAAATTAACAAAACAAGTTATAAGCACTGACTGTTGAAGACATTTCTACATATCCAATGAGATATGCAATGCAAGCTAAATAGAAGAACATTTGCAATTTAAAATATAATTCTCCATAATGAAAATGTAAAGCAGTCGTTCTGTTTTATTTGGCATGGCAGGTTAAGAATCCCTGTGAAGCTACATTGAAGCAAAGAGGAGATTAATAATTTAATTTAGTTCAAAAGTGTGCAATGGGGCACTACAACCTTTTATTCCGTAACCAGCTGCTGACCCTAATATGGACGAACCAATTAGACATCTCTATTTCATTGTTGGGTGACCCATCTAAAACTCACCAGGAATTTTCATTTTCAACAACACTCAACAGTCTGAAAGAATCCTAGTTATCCCCCTGGTGGAGATGGTTGATTTGATAGAAGCACACAAAGGAGTTCAGCAAACAGGGGAAAAAACTGCAAGATCATTTAAGACTGTGTTCTGTAAAAGAACATCTTAATATAATGAGCCTTTTTTCAGACTCCCTTGGCGGAACATCAGCCCTCTCAGATAACCCCACACAAAGCAAATACTATTCGTCTGAAGTTACATTTGCTCCTTGTTATCACAACTTATGCCACTTAATTCACTATTCAACGAATTCACTTTCTTGTTTATTAGATGCAAGGTAGCCGCTTATCCCTAAAGGCCATGTATGCAAAAGACTGCTTGTAATCCTGTCACTTCAAACCTCTCTAGACTTTTACATTGCTTCAGGAATTAGGAGGAAAGAAGCAAACAATTTATATTTATTCCTGATGATATTAAATCTGTACATGATGAAAGAAATAAAGAAATGCTAATCTGAAATTTGTTGATTTGGAGAGTGGCTTCAGATGCTATCTTTACATGTAAAAGTTAGTAATTCACTTGCTTCTCATATTAAACATCTTGAAACATTCTTCCTACATTAAAGAGGAATAAATTAAATGCATTTGTTTTTTTGTATAGGTTGTTTGCAAAAAAAAAATAATAATAATGTAATACAGTGCACCAACTGTATTTCAAAGATGCAGGCCAACTCAACAATTCATGTGCTGAACACAGGTATTAAATATACTTTATAATCTGATATCTGATATGTTATTGCTTTAGGATACCACTTTCTAAGTGTATTTAATGTTGGAATAAAAACTGCATTGAAGAATTTTTTCATTATGGATATTTTAAGATTCCTTTTGGTTGTCCTTAACAAGATGTGATAAATATATTCTGTATAATATAAAGCAATATGACTATTTGAACTCTTCACACAACATAATATAATGGTCAGAGATATTTTAATTTGATTTGGTAATCTTATGCTATGAAAATCATTAAAATGTAAATGAATTACTGAATTAAACACACTTTCACTGCACTCTTAGCACAATTAATATTATATAAAATTATCTGCATAATTATACACAGTATGTTTACATAAAACAGCCAGGAAAGAGCTACAAATCAGAGGCTGAGTGTAAAATATTTTAAGCTGTGTGCTGAAGTCTTCTAAATATGGAAATCTAAGTGGTTGTTTTAGTATTGGTGCTTTATGTAACTGCAGACTGTTCTAAATTTCATGCTTTACTTATTTAAATGCTAAATAACTCTATACCTATTTTTAAAATTCTCATAAATATATATACATGTACATATATGTGTGTGTGTGTGTGTGTATATATATATATATATATATAGAGAGAGAGAGAGAGAGAGAGACTGAATGTATTTTAAACCTGTGTGCATTATTCACAAAACTAAAAGGAAATTATTTTCTTCAATTAATTAACATTATGAGCTAACTATTTGAGATTTAGCATTAGTTCATCAACAAAAGCCACAGAAAAGCCACAGTGAGCATTTTAATGCAGCATAACATATACAAATATGCCTAGGACAAAAGACTCAGCATCTCCAGAAAATAGTAACCATTTACAGGGAAACTCATTTTATGAGTAGAATTGTGACTAATAAAATAATGTTACAAAATTACCTGCAACTATTCTAAGAAAGGAAATACTCTTGAACACTCATGTACCTAGCAACTGTGTAATTATTGTCATTCTTCCCAAGCATCACTCTATAGTGATGAACAGACTGATTTACCTGAATAATTAACCTTTACTGCAGCATAACTACCTTCAGTACAGATTGATGTTTTCTATTCAGCTTAAGACATAAACCTACATGGGAAATCACACATTAAAAATACTGCAAAAATCAATTGTTTCCTACCACTCCGAGGAATTAGTATCAACAATTAATTTGTGCAGTATTTTCAAAAGCTTCTATTCAGCTGTCTGTGCCCATTAAACAAAAACAGAATAGAGCAAAATGAAATTAACAAAGAATGCTAATAAAATACAACTTTTCTGTTGATATCTTAGATAACTTTATTCATTATTGTACAACTCTTGGTTTTTTTACATGTGGGAGATTTAAAAAGTCACCCAGTGATTTTTATAGTGCAACCGTATGCTAGATAAAGATATTTAAGCTGTCAGTATAAACTGCTTCTGTTTTCATTTTGCATTTAATTTCAATGCCAGACTCAAGGCATAAATTTTTCATCACCTGCAATGCTATGAATAAAAGATTAAAAAAGGAACTGAGAAGAAATTCTAACACATGCGGTGCATGCAGCACATTGTGCAGACGCAGTATTCATAACTAGATGTTTAATTTCCATCTTTTTTTTACGTCAGGAACATTATTATTTGGGTTAATACATCACGGAGCTAATTTCCAGTATTTTAGCTTTGCAGAATTCAAGTTTACCTAGTTTAAGCCGAATAGGCCATTCATTCCACTTGAAATCTGAAGTATACGCCTTAAGATTTACATGCTACTTTGTTAGCACTGCAGGGTTCTATTACTCTCATATTTCTAGAAAGGGAGTATTTCAACATCATATATTTTTGTTTTGTTCCATGAAGTACCATGTACATTAACCTTGCCTCAAAGTTCAAAGAACTAAGAATTACTGAAATGGTCCCACCTAATATCAGTTCCTCATTAAGGCTTGCTTCATGTTCTCTGCCGAAAAATATCATCAATCCCAAGAGGTAAAGTTATGAGCTGAGTGTTAAGGCATTTTTTATTTAGTACTTAGTGCTGTTTTCTGTAGCACAATGCATCTTCATTGTCACTTTATTAGCCTCCACAGGACCCACAGACTAGAACAATTTCTAATTCTTGCCAAATAGACGTTCAGTGAGCAAAAGATGCATAAGAGCCATTCCTAATCTCAACAGGAGGACCCTGGGTTTATTAGCCTTGTCATTCTGAACCTTCACTTTCTCAGGACAGTCAAGAGCCTGCTGAGAACTTCAGGCCTACTGGGGACAGCAAGAGTTATTCCGTGGAGGTTAGTGGCTTCTAATAATGTCTAGCTTATTATCTTTGGATCTAATTACTCAAACTAATTTTTTATGGTTATTGAAATTAAATCTATGGGAAGCTTTGGAAAAAAAAAACCAAACCATGTTTTGATACATTATTATCAACGTGGTATCCAATTAGCTCAGTTGGTTCACAGATAGTGTTAATGTGACCTAGGTCATTGGTCCAATTCCACAGGGGCCAGTTAGCTTTACTTTGTTCTGTGGTCACAGACGGATACCTCATCCTATCCAGCTATCTTAAGTGCTATTGGTAACCAAAATAACCAAATGAGAGAGCATGGATGGATCAGTGTAAATGCACCTCTACAGCTCTGCTCTAGAAGGCATCAGCATCATTTTTTGTGACAATTGTACAAAAATTAGGTTTTTAAAATAAGACTTTTTATTTTTTGTTTTTTGCTTATTGTTTATGACTGTAAAGCAAACACTTTTTATCTTCAAAACATTTAATGGGCTTTAATTAGCTAGGCTTCATAACATCTCTATGATGTTGACAAGTTGAATTAAGCTTACTTTACAGATGAAAAGGCTCAAAACTGAGAGGTTAAGTCACTTGTCTGAGGTCACATAAAATGTCAGGGGCATTTCTCAGATTAGAATCCTGGTCTTCTGTATCTCATTCCATTGTGGTACTCATGAGAGTGCTCTGCCTCTATGGAAATGGCCTGAAATCACAGTAATATGTCACTATATTATCACATTACTTTTCATTATGCTAGAAGACACAGTTAGCGAAAAGGCATGGTGAGTCACGGATTACAGATGTATTTCTCTCTAAGCAACATAAATGTGTGGAAATTTGGATTTGCTGAACAGATAAGAGTGTTGTGTATCATTTAGTCTGTGCCACCTCATATTGTTATTAATCATTCTTTTGCATAGCCTAACTTCCCAATTAGTCAGTAAGCACAGTGACTATGTCTTATATCTCTTTGAATCCATAGTAGATATTAATAAATATTTATTCATGACAATGGCATTTGATTGGAGGGGAATAGGAAAACATATGACTGTGTACCCTATGAAAAGGGGAAAATAGGGGAAGTGATAAGCATCATGATATTGGGCAGGCATGGATTTTTCCTATTGGGTCTGTGTCATTGCAGCAATTTTAATTTGATGTATTATACAAACAAACTTTATAAGAGCGCCTAAGACATATCCTAGATACAAAGCATGAAGAGGCCCTGTAGAGATGACACACTTAAGGAAAATACTTTCAAAGAGGAAAATGCATAAATAGCAGTGTAAGAAAGGCAGCTTGGCATAGTTATGGAAGGTAGAGATGTCATTGTGCAACCCTGTACCATGCTGTCAATGGAGATATGGTATCGTGTGAAAATTAGTTGCTCAGTATTGTGGAAGAGAAAAACCACATGATGGCAGAAGGGAAGGGTGGAAATAGTTTCTTTTTTTTAATAAGTAGTCATAAGATATTTTTTAATTGTATGCTTTTCTTATACCTGAGGTGACCTTATTTAGGAGAAAGTTCATTTACTTAGAACTTTTCAGAATTATGACTTTTTTTTTTGAGACAGTGTCTCAATCTGTTGCCCAGGCTGGAGTGCAATGGCATGATCATGGCTCACTGGAGCCTTCACCTCCCTGGGCTCAAGTGATCCTCCCACTTCAGCCTTCTAAGTAGCTAAAAGCACAGGTGCAAGTGACCATGCCCAGCTAATTTTTGTATTTTCTGCAGAGATGAGATCTCATTATCTTACCTAGCCTGGTCTTGAAGTCCTGGGCTCAAGCAATTCGCCCATCTCAGCCTCCCAAAATACGGGGATTACAGGTGTAAGCTACCACACTTGGCCAATTATGGTAATTTTATAAGTTAAAGTATACCTGTAAAACTTTGTCCCTCTCAGGTAATTGGCTTGGATTTGATTTTGTTAGTGAAGGATGAAGTCAAGGACCATTGGAGTTGCTCTGTAAAATGAGGAGCTATTTGGGAAATAGGTCTTAACACCAATGTGATTCAAAAAGGAAATGGCAGACACAGCAGAAAACTCAAGATGTAATGTGTATGTCCCCCAGAGATGCACCATCAACAAGTTTTTCATTTTAATACAGTCATCTCCTTCCTGCTCATGTCTCTCTATTATTAAATCTCTGGTATTGGGGTTCCTTAAAGAATAACCTTCTGAGCTCCATGGGTTGATCTTATCACTAACTCCTATGGCAGTTAGGATAATCAATCTTTTCTTGTACATGAATATTCTGTGCAAGGTTATTAGAAAATGTAAATTCTCTGATCAACTTTAATTGTTAAAAGATAGAAAAAAATTAAAATCATTTAATAGTTATTCTCAGGTGAAATATGACACTCACTTTTATGCTGCACAGATTTACAGTATAATTGCATAGGCAATATAGTTCAGTTTTCATCTTGATTTTGAAAATAATATTAATAAATTCATGTTTTATATTATTTGAGCTTTGATGATAATTCGCCTTCTTCAACATATGAGGAATGTACTGAACACCCAGTATTTCAGGGATGGCTTCTTCCTGCCAGATTAGTGCTTATTCTAGGAGGCTTCCAGGGGCCATAACCTCTTGAAAGTATATGGGCAAATTCTGGAGGTAGATACATATGTTACGTGTTTCTGTGCAGAGATCTTCTTAGAACTTCAAAGGAGTTCTTGTTTCAAAAAAGAGGTAAGAACCATGACTCTAAACTTTTATCTTGTATTCACTTGCAAGAAGTTAACATTCATCTCTTGGTGACAAAGATCTGTCCACCTACCTACCTATCTTGTTCAATTTAATCGTTTTATAAATTTGTGGAATTGTCAAATAAGTGGAAAATGCTGTATTTTCTTTCTAAAAAGAAAAAGGGACACATGTGACAACTAAAAAATTTATACCAATTATAATATTTCCATATGTAGTAGGGGGGGAGACTGACAGGGGCAGTTAAAGAAATACCTTCTCTTGAGATATTTAAGATAAAAATAAATCCTCTCTATAAGAGACTTTAGATATAGTTCTTTCTAGGAAGTAGTTTGTTAGACTATAACTCTTGGGGTCCTTTCTATGTTTATGATCTCTTCATTACATGCTTCCAGGACATGTCAAATAATTACTTGTATTCACCACCAATGAAACACATCACTTCAGACACAGACCGTACTTAATCTATATTTTAAAAAGGAAAACTTATTTGAACCAAAATACTCTAAACACACATACAAACACATACACTGGGAATCAGATTTAGAGAATTGAGTTCTGTTTAGATTCATGCCATCAACTTACTTAGTTCTCAAAAGCAAGTTAATCTTGCCAAAAATCATAGAAATATGTTTTATTTTACTCCCAATTGCCTTAAATTTCTTAAGTGCAAAAAAAATTGGATTTGAGGTTAGTCAAGTGTTTCTCAACACATCTAAGATGATTTTTTAAAATTATAGATACTTACATATCCCAGGTCTATACAAACAGAATTGCTAGAGAATGGCCCTGAGCATCTGTAGTGTAACAAGAGACTAATGTGACTTAACGATCATACAAGGTTAGGAAATCTGGGACGATGTGATATTTTCAGTCTCAAGATTTTTGGCTTTTGGCTAGTTGGGGTATGTGGTTCTCCTCTGAAGATCTTCAATATACAGTATTATATAAGTCTTTTCATCAGTTAATTTTACCTAAAGACTGGGAGAATACAATTCCAATCATGAAACGAATTGCTGGTGAGTATGCAACATAGCATTTAAAAAATTAGTTCAGAATTCTCTTGTCAAGAAATTTAAGGAATCTACATAAATGCAAACACATAAATGTGGGTTTTTTAAATATAAAAATAAATATGTATGGAGCACATGTATGATGTTAAAAGGAATACAGCTATCTTTATTATCCTCTAAAAATCAGTAGTGATTCCAAAAGACCTCAATAACACAGGGTCAGCATATTTTTTCAGTCACGCTCTTGGGAAAACATCAATTAAATATGCTCTTCTGGACAACTGTTTCTATTTGGATATCACAAAAAAGCTTTTAGTTCAAAAGAAAAAGGAGAAGGGTACTGGTGGTATTTTATAAAAGGTTTAGGATAGTTTTTTTTTTAACAAAACTGAAAGCTAAGACACCTGTTTCTAATCATTTTTCTATTAACTTAGACTTCTTTTCCCCTATCCTGAAAGTGGGAGGTAAAATCTTATACTTAGTTCTATGGAGGCATTTGCCAATAGAATAATACAATTACCTCTGGCCACTTGGAGAATAGATCTATGTCCAAAAACATTGTTAACAAAGGTTATTTTTGCCTTGGGTTCTGTTTTTCCCCCTGCAACATCAATAGTATATTTAAAATAATAGACACTTATATATAAAGGAGTAACTATAAATATAGAAGTAAATGCAATTTATTTTAGTGACACACAAAATAAATAACTCTTTATGCTAACAAATACTGATGTTTTGAAACAAAAGTGTATGATTTCAGGTCCAGATCACTGAGAAGTGATTGCAACTAAGCTACAAAGCAATACCAAAAGTTTTAGAGATGACCTAATGGTAAAAAAACAACTTTCTCAGTTTCTGAAGGGTAATGACTAGACAGGATAATATAATTCCAGATTGTTCTATGTGCTATAAATGCTACAGAATGGATGTTATTGCATAAAAATCAACCACTTTATTATAAATAGAAGGTTGCTCTGCCATTTTGGGGTAATCGCTCAAGACTCAATTGGTAGCCCTAAGCTGGTTGATATGTAATATAGTTCATTCAATTATTATTTAAGGTAAAATGCTGAATTGTTCATGTAAATTCAACTGCCCCTTTTTGTAAAGTATGCAGATTAACTTTTCTTCATTTGGTCCACTCCAGGGAGTAACTTTCAATTTTGCTAGGTAGTTAAGAGATTTTTCATTTGGAGTGTTATATGAACATTTTTAAGAGAATTCCTGCAGATATGGAACTCATACTTGAAGTTTCTTTGAAATTCTGTGTGCCAACTTATTTAATTATTAAGACTGAAATAGCTTTTAATCTGAGATCATCATTTTATAATCATTTTATCTGTAACAGGGAAGCTTGGCTCTACTATTTCTTTAGAGTAATTCTGTTACGCACCAAATTCAAAATTCACACTTCCAGTGAATTGAAAAGTGATCATCTTCCCAGTTTATCTGTAAGCCTGTAGGCGACTTATTAGTCAGGTGAATTTTAGAATGCCCTCAGTAAGAATATAAAATAACTCATGAAACACACAGTTTATTGTGTAACACTACCGTTAAACAAATTGCCTACGTTTCAGGGAGACTTAACATGCTTTCCTGTTCTCTCCATGTTGATCCCTAGCAGGATTTTCCTCTTTAGTCTATTAGCAACTGGAGGCTCAATGTTTTAGACTCCTGAGAATGACTTTTTTGTAGTTTCTATTATACAATAAATTATTTTTCAACATACTTTTTGGGGTAGTTCATTTGTTTATATGACTTGAAGCCTTAGGAAAGATTAAATTAAGAATAAAGTTTTATGTCAGCTTCATTTTGAATAGTTTTCTGGTGCCTTTCTCCTGTGGTAATCTAATTTATATTATCTTTAAAATCTACCATATAAATATATTACTATGCATAATTATTCAAAGCAGTAGAATTGCTAATATTTTTATATTTACAATTATTTATGCATTTCAAGTCACTCAGCATGCTATTAATGGGCCATGTGGTTGGATATCCTAATTTGTCCTTGTGACTTATAATTAGTTTAAATAGAAGTTAAATATAAAGTATTTTGAAGTTTATAAGAATTATTTTTTTGATACATGCATGTCCATAGATATAAAACTCAAAGATTTTCTTTCTTTCATAATATACTATAATATGGTTACAAGTGCATTGAAATTCATCTTGTTAGAATGGTAGTAATATATCCCACCAGGACTACTGTTCCTAGTAGCAATTTAAAATAATTATTGTGAGACTTGATGCTAGACATCAGGTTTGCAATAGAATTACAATGAGGGAAGTGTATTAGAGACAAAACATTGCTGGAAGAAAACTTCATAATGGTGCAATTTGGAACTAAGCCTCAATTTTACAGTAATAGATTCTCTTTATGATGGCACAAAGGAGTGAATGCACTTAGCAAATTTAAATCTATTATTAGTCACACTTTGTGGATTGCAGTGCAAAAAGGAGAAAAGAAATTAGCTTTTTAAGTATGTTCTTACATAAAACAGGTTCCAGTAAGAACAGTCTTATATAAAATCTCCTTGTTACAGTTCAGAAGCACCGTCAGTCTTCGTAATATCAGGGAGTTGTCCAGGTTTAAAAGTCTTCCCAAAAATAGTTCCGGAGTTTCCTTATTTCAGATGGTAAGTTTCTGAAGTCAGAATATGAACATCAGTATATTTCCTATTTACAGAAATATCATATAGAACAAGAAAGGCAGAGTTAATTTGGTCTCTGCCGCTTATTGTGATTTTTCTTGAATGAAGAGGTATTTGTAGTCCACATTAGTACTACAGCTGCCTTTAACATGATTTCAATTACAGTGAAGAAAACTCAGTAGCATTAAGTGGGTATGATGTGGCACTCAGCTAAAGTAACAGGAGTTGCAAGTGGCAATTTTGCAAAGGAAAACAACAGCAAAAATTCGGTGACATTTTTAGTACAAAATCAAAACACCAAAAATCCAAGCTTCCATTTCAAGTTAATTAAAATGTTATATTTTTGTTTTAATCATGGTCCACTTTTCTTCTCTCATCTGAAAATAATACAGGGTCGAATATTTGATAATAGCATAATTTGGTTTTAAAATAGCATGTGGCCAGATGCAGTGGCTCACATTTATAATCCCAGGACTTTGGAGGCTGAGGTGGGAGGATTGCTTGAGCCCAGGAGTTTGAGACCAGACTGGGCAAAATAGTGTGACCCTCATCTCTACAAAACATTTTCAGAATTAGACAGGCCTGGTGGTGCATGCCTATAGTCACAGCTACTTGGGAGGCTGTGGCGGGAGGAAAATTTAAGCCCCACAGGTCAAGACTACAGTGAGCCAAGATTACATCATTGCACTCCAGAGCCTGGATGATGGAGTGAGAGTCTGTTTCAAAAAAATTAATTATAAATAAATAAATAAAATAACATGTAATCTTACATAATATTATTGACTGGATACGTATGGGTACAGCTATAATCTTTAAGAAATATTAAATCAAATTCCTGAGATGTTTCACTTAATTATTTATCTGTGAAAAAGAGTGAAAACACCCTGTTGGATTAAGAAAGGTCAACCTCAAATAAAAATTGACGTTGGTAGATTGAGTGATAAGAAAGCAAGAACAAACTGATAATGGTCACCTTTAAAATGAAGTTCTATATAGCCTAAATAGGGTAATTATAAATAAATCAAATAGCCTAGCCTCTTCCCCAAACCAAATTTATTCTTTCTCAGGAGCTCTCCATCTTAGTGAACCAATCTATACTGTTTTCCAAACAAGAAACCTGTGTATCATCCCTGAATATATCTCTTCTCTCTCTTACCCAGCCAGTCTCCAAGTTCTACTGCCTATTTCACAAACGTGTTCATTTCCATCTACACCCACTGCCACTGTCCTAATTCAGGCCACCATCATTTCTGTATAGTCTCCCAATCAGACTTTTTCCTTCCCTGATTCAATCTATTCTCCATGTTATAGTAGGACATATCTTTCCAAACTATTTCATTAAAATGATAAAGGAAAATATTAATAAATATGAGTATATAAATTTCTTTTTAAAAATCTCCTTAGAAGAAAATACCCAAAGAAAATAAAAATATGTCATAAAGTGGGAAAAATATTTGCAATACATATAGCAAGGAGTTAATGTTGCTAATCAATAAAGAACTCTTACAAATTCTAAAAGAAATGTAGGCAAAGGAATTAAGCAGCCAATTTACATAAAAAGAAAATGGATTATAGGAATATAAAAAGATGCTTAACTTCCTAAAGGAAATGCAAATTAAAATTAGATATTTTTAACCTATCAAATTGAGAAAGATTTAAAAGTTTGAAAATGTAGCAAAATAAGCCCTGTCATACACTATTGATGGGCATATAAATTAGCATAGTCTCTTTGGAAGGAAATTTGAAATATATGATAAAATTTAAATATAAAAATTTAAATAATAGTTACGTTTAATCAGACTTTTATACTTATAGAAATATATCCAGAAATATCAGTATAACTACACAAAGATAAATATGCTTATTGCAATAACTTTTACATTTTCATGAAATAGAAGATCAATATTCATCATTGTGGTTTTAATCAAATAATATGTGGGAACCCCTATTATTCTGGAATATTAGGTAGTGGTTGAAAAGAGCAAGGTGGATCTTCATGTAGTCATATGGAAAAATCACTATGTTATATTGTTAAGTAGAAAAAGTAAGAGAACAATTTGTTCAATATGCCTTATTTGTATAAAAACATACATCTGTGTATCTATATCTCTTTATTAATTTAAGAGTACACAGACATGTCTCATTGATGGAAATGGTACACAGACATGTCTCATTGATAGAAAAAGTAAGAGAACAATTTGTTCAATATGCCTTATTTGTATACAAACATATACATTTGTGTATCTATATCTCCTTATTAATTTAAGAGTACACAGACATGTCTCATTGATGGAAATGGTGATGAAAGGCTTTCAAAATGAGGATAAGAATGGAAGCATGAGTGCAAGAGTTGGGGGGCTGTGTGAAGTGAGGATATAGGTTCCCAGCAAATTTATCTCCTTCTTTGTGCTCACCAAAGAGAGACACAGTCTTCTCTACTCTCCGAACCCTTATGCCTACTCCATTTCAGACCAAGTCTAACGTTACCATGCTCACTAGAAATGGACACCCAGAAGCCCAACTAGAAGAGGTTCCTATTATTGTCTCTGAAGCTTGGGACAGAAACATTGCTGAGCAATACATGTTGCCCCAAACTGTCCAGCTTTCAGGGGGATTTTGTTGGGTTCTAGACCACTAGGTACTTCAGAAGTCTTGAAAGAAATATAAAAAGCAAGACATTCAACCAGAAAAAAAATAGCATAGGAAGGCCTACTGTTTTTTTTAAATCTAGCTGTAGCAACACAAATGTTCTCAGACTCATTTTTTCCTTTCCATTCTGTTAACCAAGTTCTCAAAGATTCTTTCTACCAAATGGTCTGTCAGATGTGCCCCTTTCACTCCACCTCCATGACCTACCTCCTGAATCTAGGCCTCGTCATTTTTTGTTTGGAGAAACACTTGACCTCTTACTTCATTCTTTCCCACTTACATTTTCTTCTAACACCTGCCAGAACGGGATTCATGTTATTTGGCACGCCTTCTACTCCATATGCTGTAGATTGGTGATCATTTACTCCCATTTCTTCAACAGTCACCTGTACATGAATGACTCCCAAGTTTATGTTCTAGTCCTGAATTTTCTTCGGAGTTTCCAACAGGAAACTCAACATATCCCCAAAACAAACTCATTCCCTTTCCCCAAGACCTTTTTCTCCAATGTCTCGCTCTCTTTTTTTTTTGGCACTACTGTTTAACACATTTTTACAAATTCTTCTGCCAAAAGTTTACAAATTGCTCTCTTTTTATGCCTGTTGCCCTGCAGAGATTCTAGTCCTCAGCATCTCCGGCTTGAATATGTCCACTTTTGTAACTACTGTTTTCCAGGCCTGCAGTATCTCCACTTCCAGACCATCCTCAGATTTGCTAGGAGAGCCTCATAAGAAGTCTCAGTGAACTACCAAAGTATAGAATATAGGGATCATTGCTACCTGAATCCAGTTGAGGTTACCAGTCTTATTTCCAACCACATGGTTCTTTTCTTCTACCTTCTCACCATAATGAAACACTCTCTATTTCCAAACTGTGCCAAGTTTTTCCAAATCTCAGTGCCTTCGCCAGTGCAATGACTCCAACCCAGTTTATGACTCTCCCACATCTATCTGGCCAATTTCTATTACTCCTCTCATTCAATAGCAGGAGTCATCTCTGAATAGGCGATCTTTTCTCTCTGCCCCCAAGCTGAATTAATTGACTGTTCATCTGCATTCTAATAACACATTAAACACACATTCAATAATGTGTTCTGATCAGCCAATTAGTATTGTTACTACTATGTAATTGAAGCACAAAGTTGGTTCAGTGGCCTAATTTTGAGTTCAATGGTTAAACGGTAAGTTCTTTGATTCCTTCAGTGCCTAGCACCGTGTTTGGTACATGGGAATCTCTTAGTACATGTGTGTTAAATGAATGAATAGATTACCTTCTATGGCTTTGTTTTTCTGCCTTAAAGTTAACTTTGTCAGCCTGGCAATTAAAGAACTCTTTCAAATTGTCTGTTTCTTTCCCAGCATTATTTTCTCTTTATCTTTCAAGCCTCAGAAACAGGACTTCATGCCTCATGTACATAATAAATATCCTTTATTTGCATTCAAAACTATTTCTGAACTTTTACTTACACTATTCCCCTTACTTGGAAAGAGTTCTGTCTCTTGCAACTGTTTAAAAATCAAAATACCTGTCTCCTCCCAACTTAGAATTCTCTGCATTTTATGTTGGTTGTGTATTAATTTTGCATTCCCTTAGATCTATATGGTTTATTTGACATGATTCATTACACATACATACACAAACTTTTTTTTTAGGCAGAGTTTTGCTCTGTCTCCCAGGCTGGAGTGCAGTGGCACAACCTTGGCTCACTGCAACCTCTGCCTCCCAGGTACAAGCAATTCTCATACCTTTACCACTTGAATCTCTGGAATTACAGGTGTGTACCACCATGCTCGGCAAATTTTTGCATTTTTAGTAGAGACGGGGTTTTTCCATGTTGCCCAGGCCGGTGTCAAAACTCCTAACCTCAAGTGATCTGCCCACCTTGGCCTCCCAAAGTGCCAGGATTACCGGTGTGAGCCACCATGCGCAGTCCAAACACACACATTTTATCCTATAGGTTCAGCAATATGAAATTGCCAATATTCAAACTTGCCTACAAAAATCACAATTTCATGGTATTCAACTTGATTATAAATTTTTGAAGACAGGTTGCTCATAAAGTTTTGCTTTGTCTTTTGGTTTAACATTATCTTTGACACTATTCTGTGTAGACATTGAGGCAGTGATTCTCTAAATGAGGTTTGTGGACCCTTGTTAGTCCCAAGACCCTTTCAGGCATTTATAAAATCAAAACAGTTTTTATAATAATTCTAAGATGTTTGCCTTTGTTGCTATTTTGAAATTTACATCAATGGTAAGTAAAATTGCTGGTACTTTTGCAGGAGTCAATGCAGTGGCATCACTCTACTACTACTCATTGTATTCTCCACTGCCATATACTTAT